ATCCCACTTATAATAGCTACAAATAAAATAAAATACATAGAGATTAACTTAACCAAAGAAATGAAAGATCTCTATAATGACAACTATAAAATTGGATGAAAGAAATTAAAGAGGACACAAAAAAGAAAGATATTCCATATTCATAGATTGGAAGTATCAATATTGTTAAAATGTCCATATTATCTAAAGCAATCTACAAATTAAATGCAATCCCTATCAAAATAGCAATCACATTCTTCATAAACATAGAAAAAAAATCCTAAAAGTTATACAGAATCACAAAAGACTCAGAATAGACAAAGCTATTCTGAGCAAAAAGAAGAAAGCTGGAAAAATCACATTACCTAACTTCAAGTTATACTACAGAGATACAGTAACCAAAACAGCATGGTACTGACATAAAAACAGAAACACAGACCAATAGAACAGAATACAGAATGCAGAAACAAATCCATACATCTAGAGTGAACTCATTTTTGACAAAGATGCCAAGAACATAGATTGCACAAAGAACAGTCTCTTTAATAAACGGTTCTGGAAAAACTGGATATCCACATGCAGAAGAATAAAATGACCCCTATCTCTTGCCATATACAAAAATCAAATCAAAATGAATTAAAGACTTAAACTTAAGACCTCAAAACTATGAAACAATTAAAAGAAAACATTGGGGAAACTCTCCAGGACATTGGACTGGGCAAAGATTTCTTGAATAACACTCCACAAGCACAAGCAACCAAAGTGAAAATGGACAAATGGAATCACATCAAGTTAAAAACTTTCTGCACAGCAAAGGAAGCCATCAATAAAGTGAAGAGACACCCCACAGAATGACAGAAAATATTTGCAAACTATCCATCTGACAAGGAATTAATAACCAGAATATACAAGGAGCCCAAACAACTCTATGGGGCAAAAATCTACTAATTCAATTTTTAAATTGGCAAAAAATCTGAAGAGACATTTCTCAAAAGAAGGCATGCGCATGGCAAACAGGTATATGAAAAGGTGCTCAACATCACTAATCATCAGAGAAATGCAAATTAAAAACTACAACGAGATATTATCTCATTCCTGTTAAAATGGCTTTTTTCCAAAAGACAGGCAATGCCAAATGCTGGTAAGAATGTGGAGTAAATAAAGTACACTGTTGGTAGAAATGCAAATTAGTATAACCACTATGGAGAACAGTTTGGGGCTCCTCAAGAAAACTAAAAATGGAACTAACATATGATCCAGCAATCCCACTGCTAGGTATATACCCAAAAGAAAGGGAATCAGTGTATTGAAGGAAATCAGTACATCTGTACTTCCATGTTTATTGCAGCACTATTCACAATAGCCAAGATTTGAAAGCAACCTATCTCACAACAGATGAATGGATAAAGAAAATGTGGTACATATACACAATGTGTACTCTTCAGCCATAAAAAAGAATGAGATCCTATTATTTGCAGCAACCTGGATGAAACTGGAGGTCATTACGTTAAGTGAAAAAAGCCAGGCACAGAAAGACAAACATCACATGGTCTCACTTACTTGTGAGCTAACAATGAAAACAACTGAACTCATAGAGATGGAAAGTAAAATGATGGTTACCAGCAGATGAGAAGGGTGGTGGGTGTGGTGGGGGGGGTGCAAATTGGGGATGGTATATGAGTAAGAAAAAATACATAAAATGAATAAGATCTAGTATTTAATAGCACAACAGGGAGACTGTAGCCAATAATAATTTATTGCACACGTTAAAATAACTAAAAGAGTATAATTGGATTGTTTGTAACATAAAGGATAAATGCTTGAGGTGATGGATATCCCATTTACTCTGGTATGATTATTATGCATTATATGCCTTATCAAAATATCTCATGTACCCCATAAATATGTATATATACATATATATACACACACAGACACACATATCATGTACCCACAAAAATAAAAAATAATAGTAATAAAGACAAGAATAATTCTCAAGAGTCTGGCTTTAGTGACAGGGAAAATGGAAGTCCAAGAATAATACGGGAGGAAGAACATGTCTTAGACTATAATGAACTCCATTTAGACACCTCAAAATTATCTTCACAAAAATAAAAAATCACCAAGTTCTGTCAATTTTCTCTTCTAAATATCTCTTGTCTACACAGTCTTTCATGCTCTAGTCACATCACAGCTGCCCAATAGATCCACCTGCCCCTGACCTGGCTCCCTTGTGTCTTCTCCACACTGCTGCCAAAGTGAACATGGTAGTAACCATGGCAGACAGAATGGCTCTGTGTGTACATGGGACGCACCCTTACCGGAACCACCCAAAACCATCAGGCAGAAGCTTAATGCTTTATGCTCAGATATGAGATCTGATATTTCAGCTGGTAAGGGCTAAGATCTACTGCAATTTGGACAATTAAAGTCTGCAGCAGATCAGTTATATACAGTAATTTACTTTTTACTTTAGTAATTTGCAAATAATTTTAGAAATACAAGTGCTAGCAAGCAGCACTGCCCAAAATGACTTTTAAATTATGCTGAGTGTTTTGGTCTTGTATGGTACAGGTTGCTTGTCCCCTACAAATCTCACATTGAAATTTGATCTCTAATGTTAGACATGGGGCCTAATGGGAGGTGTTTGGGTCTTGCGGGTGGATGCCTCATGAATAGATTGATGCTTTCCCTGGGTGGGGAAGGGGGTGGGTTCTTGTTCTATTCATTCCCAGGAGAGCTGGTTATTAAAAAGAGCCTGGCACCTCCCCACTCCCTCTTTTGTTTGTTTGTTTGTGATAGGGTCTCACTCTGACACCCAGGCTGGATGGAGCGCAGTGGCACGATCTTGGCACACTGCAGCCTCAAGCGATCCTCCCACCTCAACCTCCCGAGTTGCTGGGACTAGAGGCGTGCACCACCACATCTGGCTAATTTTTGTATTTTTTGTAGAGACAGGGTTTCACCATGTTGCCCAGGCTTGTCTCAACTCCTGCACTCAAGTGATCCACTTGCCTTGGCCTCCCAAAGTGCTGGGATTACAGGTGTGTGCCACCACACCTGGTCTCCCCGCTCTCCCTCTTGCTTCCTCTCTCACTACATGATCTCTATACAAGCTAGATCTCTTTCACCTTCTGACATGACTACCAGCCCATGAGGCCCTCACCAGAAGATGCTGGCACCATGCTTCTTGTAGAGCCTGCAAAGCCATGAGCCAAATTGCCCAGCCTCAAGTATTCCATTATAGCCACACAAATAAACCAATAATTACTTTTAAGTTTTTTAACTTATTTCAAAATAAGTATAGATTTACAGGAAGTTGAAAAGATAGTACACAAAGGTATCACATACCCTTCACTCAGTTTCTACCACTGATTACATCTTATGCAACTATACAAAACCACCCAGGACTTTGACATTAGTACAGAATGTGTGTACAGCTCTACATCATTTTCTCATATGTGTAGATTTGTGTAAGCATCATGACAATTAAGACGCAAAACTATACCATCACCACAAAGGTCTCCTTCAAGCTACTTCTTTAATGTCACACCTACTTCTCTCCCACTCACCACCCCAACCCCTGGCAAATGTTGGTTGATCTTTTTAACTTTGTATCTAGGGAAGTGAATAAAGGATGCACATAATGTTTTATGTTGTGATATAAACATTCATGCTTTCTCACAGAGCTTCCTTTGCAGCTACCACTCCCTTCACCTGAACCATCTGTACCCATCTCTTATTCATTTGGTCATATCCTACCAATTTCTCAAAATCAAGGTACAGTAATACAAAATAATAACTTAATTTTAGCTTCTTCCTTTCTTGATAGTTCCCTGCTCTAAATTCACAATACACATTGTCTATACCACGGTGTCCAATCTTTTCGCTTCCCTGGGCCACACTGGAAAAAGAAGAATTGTCTTGGCCCTCACATAAAATACACTAACTAACACTAACAACAGCTGATGAGCTAAAAAAAAAAAAAAAAAAAAAAAAAAAACTGCAAAATATCTCATAAAGTCTTCAGAAAGTTTACAAATTTGTGTTGTGCCTCATTCAAAGCCATCCTAGGCTGCATGCAGCCCACAGGCTATGGGTTGGACAAGCTTGGTCTATACCATTGATATTTTAGTCATCAATTCCTTTGTGAAACCTTATTGTTCAATGATAAGGTATATTTAACTTTTTAAATGTATATTTTTTTCTCCTCGAGAGACTGTTTTTTACTGCTTATTTAATCCACCACAGTGCCTAGAAAAGATAGAAACAATGAGTATTTGTTAACTAATTTCAAAAAGCATTTTTAAGATAATACTAATGTATTTTCTGGTCCTTTTATTTAGAAAAGCTTAAAGTGGATTACCAATGTTACTCCAAGAATCCTGATGGCACTTCTATGCAATTCGTCAGTATTATTATCCTGGCACCTGGCACAGCACTTGGTTTAGACAGTCAATCAATATTTAGATGACTGAATTATCATATGCTCACATTTAGTAAAACTGGAGACATTAAAAGACATTAGTAATCAATACTGAATTACCAATTGCTAAGAAAGAAGAAATAAAAGGATAGAAGAGGAAATAGATGTGGATTGAGGGCAGAGGAGAAGCAAAGAGATAAAGATGAGGAAAAGTACATTCAGACCTTAGAATTCAGCTTCTGATTCTCAGAGAGACTGACTGATCAAGGTGAAAGCATTTCGACATGTCGTGCCTGTGGCCAAAAGTCCCGTTGGAGGAAAGCCTGAAAAAACGCTGGGTTTTGAGAGACGATCATGGTAAACCAATAAGACCGTGAAAGAGAAAGGAGGCAGTGAGAGAGAGGAAGGCTCCTGAGTGATGCTCTACTGGCCAACCCCAGCAGCAGCCACCTGAACTTTCTGTTGTTGCATCCCTGACCCTCACTGCAGGAACCAGGAGTGGGCTAAAAATTCCACCTGCTATTCTCTATCTACAAGATAGTTTCACTGTGTAGTAATTGAGATTTAAGCAGGAAGACAAATAATAATGACTTACATGAGACATAGGAGACCACATTAACTGACACACAGGTCCAGGAGTATTAATATAACCAATTGGCTTATAATCCCTTTCCACTTCAAAGAAGAAAACAGTTTGATCTTTACTCTAAGGAAAAAGACACATCCACCAAATATATATTACTATGAAATCTAGTCTATAGATCACAAAAAAAGCATTTATTAGCATATGCTATCTCTATCTACAATGGTCATATATCCCAGATTATTCTAGGAGAATTCTTATTTCTAAAACTTGCTCCATTTTCCCCATTAGAATATTTGGCAAACCATGTGTTTCAATATGTGGTTCTGAAAATATGATCACCATACTTTTAGAAATGCACACAAAAAAATTCTACCATGCATATGCTTGCCTACTAGTGCATAAAGAATTTACACGGTTATTCTCTTCATTTATGACAATTCTATATAAGAACATACCTATGTTGAATAAAATACTGATTATAAACAATACAACTAGCATGGTCCCCAGTTGAAATTTCCTATTCATTTAAAATAAGCACTAGAATTCAATTTGCAAGAGTATTTTTAAGTGTTATTCACATGCTCCAGCTCCATTCTGATTAAAAAGAGGGTTATTCACAGACTACATTGAAAGAATATGACTATAAAGAAAGCAAAATATGAATATATTGATAGAAAATGAATTTCAGTAAATAAGACATGATGAAGTAGGAGTACTTATAAGGCAATGTTAACTATAAAATTTCAACAAGAAAAGAAAGGAAATGTACTGCTTACCCCTGTGGCTAGAATTTCCCCATCACGTTCATAAGCTAAAGCAGTGACACGAGCAGTATGGGGTTTGAAAACCTGTTTCAAGCGAATATCAGCATCCGAAATTTTCTTCCGTCCCACAAAATCCGTGAGCCCTTTTGGATCATAAAGTTCAAGAATTCGAACAACTCCATCTTCAAATCCTACAATAATTTCTGCTCCAGTGAAGTTTACCTTGGAAAAAATTAAAGATAAGGGACCTGAAACGAGTTAATTGAGAAAGTTGGACTATATAACAGATATTTTATTTAGACTTAGGTAATTTAATATTGGCTGCCCATTGGCAATCCTTTATACCACTTTCTGGTAACCACTATCCATTCTAGCATATCTCTTTATAATCAATGACCACAGGAAGGATAAATAATGTTAATTCAAACATTGAATGAACAAACAGCAGAGTGTCTGCCTACCACATGCTAAGCACCTATCATCAGCCACTCAGTGGTGAACATAAACAGACTAAGTGCTTGGTTTCACAGAGTTTTGGTCTAGTGAAAGGATGGACACATTAATCATCACATAAATGAGTGTGAAATTATGAACTGAAATAAGTGCTAAAAGAAAAAAATGCATTCTCTGACAGCATATAACAAAGAAGGCTGACCTCAACTTATGGCTTCCCTAAGAAAGAGATGGTGGAGCTGATAACAAAAGGATGCTCAGGAATTAGCTAGGTACAGGAAGGTGGGACAAGCACTCCTAAGAGAGAATATAACTTGTGCAGAAGTCCTGTGGCAGGAAATAACAGAATTCAAGAAAAAGTTATAGTATGACTAGAGTAAGAGAACATTTCCCCGGGAGGCTGGAGAGGAAGACAGGCAAGCAGTAGGTGATAAAATGGGTTCCACGTCACATTAAGAAGAGTCTTCATAAAGTCTCAGCTGGAGATATAAATCTACCAATGTCTGAATGTACCAAATCTGCTGTCTTGGAAGAGCCTGGACATCCTGTAGAGCTCAATGACAATCAGTTATGAGAATTTGGGGAATAAAAAAGTTGCACACCATTCAACTCCAGTTGAATGTTGTTTATCCAATAAAAATTTACTAAGTGTCTAAATGTACCAGTAACTATAGAGGCACAGGAGATGCAAAGAATAAGGCATGGTTGTCACCATGAAAAAAAGTCTAGTGGGAAAGACAATAAAGCACATAATCCTAGTATGCTGTGATAAATGCTGTAAGAGATATATACATAAGCACTAAGGGGAAAAAAATCACAGAGGAAGGAGGCCCTAACTCTACTTGAAGGTAGATTCATGGAGGGCTATGCAGACATGATGTCTGACCTGAGGTGGGTCATAAAGACTGATGTGTAGCCTTCCAGAAAGGTAAAGGGGTATGGACAAGGGACATTTTAATTGTAGCTTAAAATCCATATGATCATTACTCGGATATAAGCCTAAAAAAGGAAACATGCTGTGAACATTACACAACCATCTGAATAAACAATTCAATTACCTGGATTGTAGTTTTAAGACTTCAGTTAAGAGTGTAACTAGATTAGGATAGTGAGTGAGCTAGGTCTGCCAATCCAAACGCTCTGTCATTTCTACTTGCTCTAGCCTCATCGCAAAGCTGGCTCTGTTCCCTGGACTAAGTTCTCCTTCTGGTCTTGATCCCATCATGAAATTCCCCCTCATTCCAGTTATATCCACATTTACTTTTAGCCTGGAATATTTTCTCTTTAATTTCAACCCAAAATAATAAAGATTAAATATTTCCCCAAATAATTCCATGGCATTTTAAAATATGGCTGCAAATCTTTGATGTGCCTCCCATGGAGAGATGGGGTTTAAGTCCCCTCCTCTTGATTCTGTATGGGGCTTGTGACTGTGTGACTGCTTCACCCAATCAAGTATGGTAGAAGTGATATTTTGACTTCTGGGGAATGGGCCATAAAAGATCATCAGCTTCTACCTTTACTGTTGGAACACTAGATCTTGGAACCCTGAGCTACCATGTAAAAAGTGTGTGACTGTCCTGAGGCTGCCATGTTCTGATGAAGCCTAAGCCACATGGAGAGGGTATTATGTATAAACACTCCTATTGGCAGTCCCAGCATAGCCTAGCCTTCAAGTCATCCATTCCAGGTGACAGCCTTGTGATCAAGAAGCCTTTGGGCTATTCCAGGCCCAGCCATTCATGTCTTCCCAGCTGAGTTCCCAGACACCCTGAAGCAGAGACAATCCATTCCTGCTGTCACCCGAATCTCAACACAAAGACTACATGAACAAAATAAAATGATTATTTTATGCCACTGCATTTTGAGATAGTATATTACACAGCAATTGATAAATGGAACAACTCCCTATCCCAGTTTAATTTGTTTCTATAGTTCTTGTAATTATCTAACATAAAATGTACTTAACTTTCTTATTTTGACTACTATCTGTCTCTGCCTCCCTCCCACTAAAGCATAAGGTCCATGAGGGGCAAGTGTTTTTTGTCTTTTTATTCACTGCTATATTCCCAGAATCTAAAACAAGGCCTGGCACATTGTTGGCACTCTGTAAATATTAATAGGGTGAATTAAATCAAAGTCAGATGGGTCGAGGCTAGAGACACAAACTTCTGTTGGGAAACTGCTTTGCAACATGAAACTATTACGAATCTACAGGTGGCATAAAAACAGAAATTTCACTAAAAACAAGACCAAATCCATAACAACAATCATGGTAAAGATTTCTATTACATTCTGACTAAAATAAACTAACTTAAAACTTTTATTATTCCTTAAAATTTTGAGTCAGCAAATATCTATATTTCCAAGAAATAGCATTGATATACCATATTTACTAACAGATTCTGGTAATTCATTATAACAACAAACTTACCATTCGGGGTACCCAAACAAGGGCAGTACCTCCTTGTTTGAATTTCATCTGAGTCAAAAGAGTTTTGCTAGCAAAATCATAGATTCGAACAGAGCCTATGGAAAGACAGTTTTAAAAGAAAAAAATTAGATACATAATTTTTTAAGTCTTTGCTTACTTTTTACATATTGAATACTATAACAAGAAATTTCTTAACTAAATCAGTCAATAACTTTCTTTTGTAAAAAATTTCATGTACAACCTCAAACAGGTAATTCATAAACATGAATAATAAAGAATAAAACAGATGATTGACTGGTGGGTCAATTTCACCTTGCATAGTCCATGTGGATTTGCCATAAGTTAAGAAGGAAGAAAGGAGATGGAAAGAATAGAAAAAAGACAAATGTGGACAATATCAAAATGAGCAGCATTTTCATGAACAATTTACAGATCGTGTCCTTACTTTAATCTCTCACAATAACCATGGCTGCTGCGTTTTGTGCCCTCTCGTCTCTGCAACTCACCTCACTTGCATTCAAGAGGCTCCCTTTTGGGAAAATCCTCAAATGCTCTTAAGTCAAACACATATAAAAATTGTATTGCAAATAAAACAAAACAAGGCCAGATATATTTTTATTAAGGGTTCCTACTTACAGTCCAAGGCAGTTGTGGCCATGAGATAAGTGAGAGGAGAAACAGCCACGGCTTCAACAGCTCCGGAATGGAAGGAAAAGAGGCATTCCGGGTCCTGGGTCTGAGAATAGACAGACACTTACTAGATTTCAAAGACAAGGTGACATAGAATTAAGATCAAGTTTTAAAAAATGCAAAGGGAAAAATATAACACATGTGTGATTTTATTTGCATAGAAATAAGAAAAAGCCCCAAAAGTTATAAAGAATACTAGTTCAGATTTAGGAGAACCAGATAGACTCCTGGGCTTTGCCCTTAATGGCTGTGTGATTTTGCGCAAGTCACTTCAAATGCCAGTTTCCATTTCTTCATCTGTAAAATGAGATGATAACAGTTGCTTGCCTACTAAATAGGGTAGCGATGAGGATCATATGAGATAAAATAAATGAAAATTCCATATATTTATAAAAACTATAAAGCACTATACAATGTTAGGTGTTGTCACTGCCACTTTTCTGGTAAATTATGCTATAAGATAGATACTTTTTATGTAAAATCATAATGAGAGAGAATTCTCAAGAGTAGCACATGTTGGACAAGATTTTTATGAGAACCATGATCAAATATGGAGAAAGATAAAGAATACTTTAAAAACAAATAAGGAAAGTTTTTACTATGAAAGTTTGGGGAAAATAAGAATAATAGGCAACTTACAATATTTGAAAAACTAAGGTCAAGCTTCCATATGGCTCCATTGGCATCCTAAAAAAATTAAATAGTATTTGGTTTTATCATTTTAAACTTTCATCAAATTTTTTAAATGTTTTTCCTATGATTTAATAAAGTAAGGACAAGTAATAATACCAAAAGCTCACATATATTTTAAAGTATAATTGAAATTTAATAAAAACGACTTCTATATTTTAGAATGCAGCCACACAATAAGCAATCTCATAACACTTACAGTCAAATGGACTTGTAGGCAAATCAATCATACTATTATTTTAATTTTGTGTCCCTGTAATGTTAAAGAGCCAAAAGAGAAGAATGCAACACACCTGAGCCAACCAAAAGTTATTTCCAGTTTCACTCATTTTTATCATAGAGAAGAGATTCACATTCTTGTCTACTTGAAGTTCATTAATAGGCTCAATCTCCAACAATCCAGTCTCATCTATTATATCAGCAGTGTCTATTGTCTCAAAATCCCATATCTTGTAAAATGTAAAGAAAATATTTTAATCAATCAGTAGTTTCTGAACATTGATCTTCTAAGCCAGAAAAACCCTGACTTTTTTTTTCAAAAGTCATTTCTTGTTCTTTCATGAAAAGTAACATTGAACAGGTGTGATAAGAACACCAAAACCTGAACCCTGGAATGTTACTCTGAACTAAGGTATGGTAAGTTATTACAGTTTCCTTTCCATTTATAAAGATTAGTGAGAATGTACAGCCTTGCATAAGAATTTTAATTTGTCCAAAACAAATTTTATTTCAAGGTTTCTATTAGATCTCATTTTACATAAAGTGGCCATAGAAGTTCAGTTGTTCAGCAAGACATCATAATGAACCCTGTTTTCTACACACTAGTAGACCCCTGGAAGGGGGAAATACACCTTCTTGCTTAATGACTCAAGCACTATCTCATTAGAAGCAAACAATATAGATGTAGATAAAGTCTCCATTAGAAAATGTTTCTCTTCCTGAATATTAATATTTCACACTTTATTATCTCATTGGGAAAATCTGGCATTTCCCCAAGTGCATACCACCAAACATGTTTCATAGCAAGTGAGATAGTAAATGTTACTATCTCACAGTGAGACAGTGAAGTATAGATTGTTGCTCATTGGGAGAGGAGTCCAGAATACTACAAGAAGAGTGAGGGGGCACAGTTTTACCTCACGGTGGCAAGGAGGCTCAGCAGAACCTCCCCTGTGAGGGGCCAAAGTTCATTCTGGACAGTTCTGGCGACATACCCTGCCATGTGATCCTAGACTGAGTAACTGAGTCTTTGAGAAAGGAACTCTGGGGAGACTGTCCCATAGATTAGCCTGGTTGGGGGAAGAGAAATATCTGAAGGTCAGGGTTAGGGTTAAGAATCAGACTAGGATCAGACTAACCCCTGGAAGTTGGGCTAGGTTTTCTCTAAAGGGTAAGAGGTAGAGATTTACTGTGTGAAGGACTGAAAAGACAAGGACAGACTCTGAAAAGAGAAGCAAGCTTAGGAATTACTGGTGTCCATGAAGGGATCCTATATGAAATATTTAACTTCTTTTCTCCTGAAGTTTTCTCCTACTTGTCATTTGAACATTTTCGGGTAATGTATGTCTTAGAAAGATAGCAAATATATCATATGACAAAATAAAAGACACAAAAGATTCTCAGAGCAATGTGTGAAATCTAACAAGATTAAATTTAATATTGTAAAAGTAAAAACATACACTGGGGCTCAAAAAGCCAGTGATAAGAAGACCCATTATAGGAGATATGGGTTAAACAATACTAAACACGGTAAGCTCAATCGGTAGCAACAGAGTGACCAGACTCTTAAAAAAAAATACAAGCTCACTTTTGATAACACTTCTTAAAGAATGTCAATAGAACACTACCACTTTCTTATGAAAGGCCCCACTGAAAATATCTACCAAGAGGACTACAAGGCAAATCCCAAGGCTACAGGTTGACTAGCCACAGTGGGTCAACATACTCATGAACAGAAAGTGCTACACAGAGTGGGCGGGAGAAGTGTGACAACAGCAATCAAGGGGACTTAGATGCTAGAGCAATGTTCCAGCTTAGCCCAGGCTTGGGCAAAAGAGTGTCCACAAGAGAAAGCAAGTGAAGTCCCTAGCATACGGAGCAAGAAGAATGTAGCATTCATAGGCAAACTCCATCAGTTCACCTCTGGGTGTATTTCTATTTGGTAACCTCAGTGAAAAATAACAAATGTTCAGCACCTTTGTTCCTACAAAATGGCCCATTCATATGGAGCCTTTTGGAAGGATATGTGGGTCTACTGTTCATCTTGTGCTCACATGAGTTTTCATCTTCTGAAGTTATTATTTCAACAGAATCAAAATAACAAGAGGCCCTCTCAAAGTTTCACTGGTAAAATGCAGTAAATTAATTTTGACAAGAATGCAAATATTTACCACAAGAGAAGCATTATTTAAAGTGAGTTGGGCTGGAGAGTAAATGACTACTGATCTCCTTCACAAAATAACCTTTATAAGAAATAAAACCCTTTGGGTGATCTACAAGTCTTAAACGTGGGTGCTACCGTCCAAGTATCAAGAAAACTTACCCTAACACATCCATCTGACCCAACTGTGATAACTTCACCCTCATCCAGCATTATCTGGTTAATGGGACCATTGTGACATGACTTGCTTGTACCTCGACAGAGCTCCACTTTGATCAGACCACCTTCCCAAAGCAGCATGTTGCCCCATTCTGACCCTGAGAGCACCTGGCAGATATGTGGAAAAAAGAAATGTGCATCAAAACAGGTAAGTGTATGTATTTATGCCTCAAATAGTAGGTGAAAATTATTTTTAAGGTTATTTTTAATGATTATAAAATTTTTAAATGGAAAAATAAAAAAATACAGAAATGAAGACCTACTACCCCAGACACAACTACTAATAACATTTTGATGTATTTCCTTCCAGGATTATTATCAGTTTTACATCTTTGTGATTAGGCTGTATGCTGTTGATAATTGTTCCTGTATGTATACAATAGACTTCTTGGTACATCTCTTTGGACAAAAGACAGGAGTGGAATTAGATGAGAGTCTACTTTTTAAATGTAATACTGTCAAATTTTAGATATTAGACAACTTGTAAGGCCAGTACTGAACTAAGTAGATTATAGCATAATAGTATCCAAATTCAAACAAGGCTAATCATCTAAAACTTTTCTCAAATTAATCTGTTTAATCTGGCATTTTCCCAAGTGCATGCCACCAACATTAGTTGTTAGATATTAAACAAGTGTCACAAAATAAAGCAATATTTATTGAGTATTGACTCTGTGCCAAGCACTGGTTCAGTACTTTATATATGTTAAGTTATATAATGCAAAAAACCGTATGAACTAGGTACATTTATTAGGGATACCATGTACACTTGTGCATATTGGGTACCTCATTCTCATAGAAGAAACAGCTTTTTCTGACTCCCACAAAGGAACCATATGGGTCAATGGTAGCCATTACTATTATTACCCCCATTTTACAGAGGAGAACATTGAAGCACAAAACAGTTAAGTACCTTGCCCAAAACTACCCAGTCAGCATTCTAATACAAGCAAGGTGGCTCAAAACCTCCTATTCTGACTACACAGCCCCAGAAGGCAGATGCTAGGATAAACAAAGTCAAACAACTTTATTTTCTCTAGGACCCCTGGGAACTTTTAATAGAGAAGTATTTGCTGGGAATCACCAAGACGAATTTTTAGATACAAAGGAATTTGACTTAAAATGTCTTATTTTTACGGAGCTTCTGTACAGACTGATGTTCCATAAAAATTCACTTTGGGAAACTCTATTCTAATTTTTGCCTCCATGCTCTAGAGGTCTGCATTTCCATCTCCCCCTTATCTAGAGAAACTGATGATTTTGTTCAGTCTTTTATTTCTTGGGTCTACCTATTTTTTAAACAACTCTACCAACTTTACTGATTCTGTTCTTAAGCCTCAGCCTTTTATGGTAGAGTGTTTAGACTTATTTTCTTCTGTCCAGTGATGAAAGCCAGCAATGATGACAAAAACCAATAAGGCATTCCTTTCTGAAATGTGACTCATATCTAGCTTGCCTTTTCCATTTGTTCCAAGAAGTCTAGGCCCTTGATCATCTCTCTTTAGATGACAGCAACAGCTTCCATTCTAGCTCATTTCCTTGATTCCAGATTTCCCTTCTTCTAATCAACCTGGCATTTTATGGCCAAATTTGTTTATTACTTCTTTCATTTGCAAGTCTACTCTTCCCATGTAGAGTAGTTCTCTACCTATTAAACTCCTTGTACACTAGGACCCAGTCATACTTCTCAACCAAAATTCTCCACTCTTTGCCAACATAAATGGTTTATTCCAATCTGCCCTCTAAAAATCTGACATTTATTTCTAATGCTAAATATTTCCTTTAGTTGCTCTATCATTTAAAATGGCTTATTTCTTCCCTAGATCTATACAAATTCTACCAACCCTTTAAAAATATATATCTCATACCAGGTTTTTAACAAGGATTCTATTGATCTTTATCTTAGCTTAATTCTTACACTATTGAGAATTTGAAGCTGGGATGATTTAAGATCATCTCATGGATTTAGATATATTTTAGCCAGCATCCAAGGCTTTTTACTTCCTCCTCTATACCATGCTTTTGAATTGAGAATATTCAGTCAGGTAGATGACTAGACCACTTGGTTCCTTAGAGTAATATTTGTATGCTGGCATTTACTTACAACTGAGATGATCACAAATAATAATCTATAATTCATTCTAATAGGAAGCTATGTAAAATACTGATAGAGAACTAATCCTAATTAACTATTATTTCAGGCAATATGCTTATAAATTTTATAAGAGGAAGAAAGGAAAGCAACTAACAATATTAAAGAATTAACAGATTACAGTTGTAGTGTTGCAGATGCCTCTATAAAGTGGTTGCTCTTTCTGAGTAATAATCTGACAAAAAAATAAATGCCACAAGGCTGTATATAACCTTTGACCCAGTAAGTCTTCTTGGATCATGATAGCAAGACAAAATGGGGAAAAATAAGTAATATAAATACTGCAACTCTGTGACATAATTAAAAGTAACAAATATTTGGGAGGCCGAGGCGGGTGGATCACGAGGTCAAGAGATGGAGACCATCCTCGCTAACATGGTGAAACCCCGTTTCTACTAAAAATATAAAAAATTAGCTGGGCATGGTGGCGGGCACCTGCAGTCCCAGCTACTCAGGCGGCTGAGGCAGGAGAATGGCGTGAATCTGGGAGGCAGAGCTTGCAGTGAGCGGAGATCGCCCCACTGTATTCCAGCTTGGGCAACACAGCGAGCGAGACTCTGTCTCAAAAAAAAAAAAAAAAAAAAGTAACAAATATGTCATTATGTTAATATATGAAAATGCTCACATACTTTATATGTGTGTATAATATTTAATAAAAAGAAAATAGAAAATGGTGGGTACATATGGATTATGACAATTTCAGGGAAATATTTTAATTACAATTGATAATTGAAGAAGTAAAATTAAATTTTCATTACATTTACAATGATAACAGCTGTTATTGGCAGAGTTTGTCAGAATGTAATATATTTTCACATATGTGTGCTTTCATATATGTACTTGAAAACACAATTTTAATATTGTAGAATGGTGGCTGTACTCACCTTCCCATCTGGGAGTTCCATGTAGCCTTCTATATCAGTAGTGGTTGTTTTGCCAAATCGACCTAGTGATCCCTGCAGCTTGAGACCTGTGAATGTAAAAGCCATTTCCCAGAACCTACAAACAAGAAAGAGACTGAATGTACCTCAAAGATATTTTATTGATTTTTATTTTAATATGACCCAAACATTTACATATTTCAGAGTTGCATATATTATTTCATTCATTGATTCATTCATTTATCTGATTAAGATTTATTAAGTATCTACTACCTGTCAGGCAAGGTTCTAGGCAATATGAGTTCAGCAATGATCAAAATAGGCGAAATATAAAATTTCCTGCCTTCACGCATCTTATATTTTAGGGCTGTGCTACCTAATGCAGTAGCCTCCAGCTGTGTGTGACTATTTAAATTTAGATTTAAAGTAATTAACATTAAATAAAATCAAAATGTTAGTGTTTCAGTCACACTAGCCAATTTCAAGTGCTCAGTAACTACATGTGGCTGGCAGCCACTGTATTAGACAGCATAGAACATTCCCAGTCTGTCAGAAAGTTCTCTTAGACAGTATTGTTTTAGAAGATATAAAAGTTTTCCAAAGAATTCTAATTTACAAACTGTGTGACTTTGAGCACTTTTCTAGATCACCCTGTGCCTTCATTTTCTGAGGGATAAAATGAGAAAATTAGTAACACCTACCTCATAAAACTGCTGAAAAATTCTTAGAACAGTGCCTAGCATATCAAAGCAATCAATAAATGTTATTACTAACATTTTCTTATTAATAGTCTAAACAAATGGACAGGATGATGAAGACCACATAGAAAAAGAAGAAATATACAAGTAGATATAAAATAGATAATTGAGAGTATCAACAAGCCAATGATACAAAGCCAAAAGCCTAGATAGCCAACATCCTCTCCAAGGGAATGGTAGGTCCCCTGATGATATGCTTCCATATACTCTGGGTTACTTCATAGCACTTCACACATGAAATTAACTGTTCAATGTCTGCCTTTTCCCCAAAGATATGGGGCATAGAAAATACAGATTTTACTAATCAGAAAATATAAGAAATTGGAAAATTTTAACATATAGCTAGCAGAAGTTTATTTGAAAATTCCCCAAAGATTACAATTAAAAATCTGCTCAATTAGTCTATATTTCTAATGAGTGAATAATAAAAAGACCAGATTTAAATTGAGACAAGAGGAATTTAGGATGGATAAAAATGTCTTTCTCTTAAAGAGACTCTGATAATCAAGTTATGGGCAGCTCTGGGGTGGTAGAAGATTGTTACACAAATGCATGAGACAAAGGGGAACAAAGATACAGAAAGACAAGATCATTGCACCCTGGAAATAGACAAGGGTATGATACAATGAAAAGAGCATGGAGTTTGGAGCAAGACATAAGATCAAGAGTAGGCTCTGCCACTGTTTCGTATTGAGTGTTCCTTGTCAGGAATGATACTGTGATAATTCTTATTTTACAGATGAAGACTGAGTTGCTACAAACAAGAAATTCAGTAGTGGATGTGAAAGCTCAATATGAATTTGGAAATACCATCCCCATTTCAGTTATTAAGACACTACACAAACTCTTTTAGGAGTTGGAGCCTACAAAAAGGCAGCAGACTATAGTTAAAAGTCCTTATTTGGCTGGGCATAGTGGCTCACGCCTGTCATCCCAGCACTTTGGGAGGCCGAGGTGGGTGGATCACCTGAGGTCGGGAGTTCAAGACCAGCCTGACCAACATGGAGAAACCCAACTCTACTAAAAATACAAAATTAGCCAGGCATGGTGGTGGGTGCTTGTAGTCCCAGCTACTCAGGAGGCTGAGGCAGGAGAATCGCTTGAACCCAGCGGGTGGATGTTGCGGTAAGCTGAGATCACACCATTGCACTCTAGCCTGGGCAACAAGAGCAAAACTCCATCTCAAAAAAAAAAAAGCTCTTATTTTATCTATGCTGTTTGCAGAAACAAAATCCCACATATCTAATTAGAAAAGGGGCATTACTAGTTAGCTTTTAAAATAACATACTTTTAAATAATTCTAATGTTAACCAAAACAGCAAAAAAAAAGTCTCCAGCTCTTAGATCCTCTTAGAAAAATACTCCTGTGATACATACTAGCACCTCTATTGGTTACCCGACCTACTTGATGTGGCCTGATCCTGATGTAGTAAGCTGCTCTTCGTTATCAGGATTGAAAGTAACCTTAAAAACTTCCTGAGAAAAAGCTTTTGTCCTCAGTATGGGTTGTTCCTCTTTCCAGTTCCAGATAGTCAGTGTGTAGTCAGGGTTGCTACCGACAGACGCCAGCAAGGTACCGCTGTAGTTAAAGTTCACATAAGCATATCCCTTCTCAGTCCCATCTGGAAGGATAAATGGAAGCCTAATAAATAAGGGCACATTTATTTCATTTTCAAAAACATGATGTACAAAAATAGAGAGGGAGTCAGCCCATGGTGATGTAAGAATGCCAAGAATACCCTAAAGGAACAATTCCAAAAACATTCACCATCTTTAGCTTTAGAATGAATTATGTTATATGAAGGGGGAGGGTAAAGAAATCTTAATCACATATTGCATGAGAAAAACACTTTGAAAACATATTCCATTTCATGGCATGGGGAGAAACACAAAGCATATTAGATAGCAGTGTCAGAGTGTCAGACAGCAGTGTCCAGAGTGGCTCCAACTGCAATAGGAGCTGGGTAAAATGAGGCTGAGACCTACTGGGCTGCATTCCCAGGAGGTTGGGCATTCTAACTCACAGGATGAGACAGGTGGTTGGCACAAGATACAGGTCAAAAGACCCCACTGATAAAACAGGATGTGGTAAATACAATGGCCAAAAACCACCAGATTCAAGTTGGTGATGAAAGCGACCTCTGGTCTTCCTCACTACTCATTATATGCTAATTATAATGCATTAGTATGTTAAGGACACTCCCACCAGCACCATGACAGCTTATAAATACCATGGCCACATCAGAAGGTTACCTTATATGGCCTAAAAAAGGAGGAACTCTCAGTTCCAGCAATTGCCCACCCCTTTCCTGTCTGGAAACCTCATGAATAATCCACTCCTTGTTTAGCATATAATCAACAATAACTATGAGTATTCGTAGCCAAGCAGCCCGAGCCACTGCTTGGGCTCTGCCTATGGAGTAACCATTCTTTTATTCCTTTACTTTCTTAATAAACTTGTTTTCATTTTACTCTATGGATTCACCTCAAATTCTTTCTTGCACAAGGTCTAAGAACCCTCTCTTGGGGTCTGGATCAGGACCGCTTTCCCATAACAATTCCATTAAATAAATCATTTTTCTTTGTTTCTTTATTTCTTCTAAAACACCAAAGATACATCTGCAGAACATGCAAGTTTGTTACATAGGTAAACATGTGCCATGGTGGTTTGCTGCACCTATTGACCTATCCTCTAAGTTCCTTCCCCTTACCCCCACCCCCCAACAGGCCCTGGTGTGTGTTGTTCACCTCTCTGTGTCCATGTGTTCTCAATATTCAACTCCCATTTTGAGTGAGAACGCACAGTGTTTGGTTTTCTGTTCCTGTGTTAGTTTGCTGAGGATGATGGCTTCCAGTTTCATCCATGTCCCTGCAAAGGACATGATCTCATTCCTTTTTACGGCTGCATAGTATCCCATGGTGTATATGTACCACATTTTCTTTATCCAGTCTATCATTGATGGGCACTTGGGTTGGTTCCATGTTTTTGCTATTGTAAATAGTACTGTAATAAACATACATGTGCATGTCTCTTTACAGCAGAATGACTTATATTCCTTTAGGTATATACCCAGTAATGGCATTGCTGGGTCAAATGGTATTTCTGGTTCTAGATCCTTGAGGAATCTGTCTTCAACAAGGGTTGAATTAATTTACATTCCCACCAACAGTGTAAAAGTGTTCCTATTTCCCCAGAGCCTTCCCAGCATCTATTGTTTCCTGACTTTTTAATAATTGCCATTCTGACTGGCACGAGATGGTATCTCATTGTAGTTTGGATTTGCATTTTTCTGATGATCAGTGATGTTGAGCTTTTTTTCATATGCTTGTTGGCTGCATAAATGTCTTCTTTTGAGAAGTATCTGTTCATATCCTTTGCCCATTTTTTGATGGAATTGTTTTTTTCTTGTAAGTATGTTTAAGTTCCTTGTAAATTCTGGATATTAGACCTTTGTCAGACGGGTGGACTGCAAAAATTTCTCCCTCTCTATAGGTTGCTTGTTCATTCTGATGATAGTTTCTTTTGCTGTGCAGAAGCTCTTTAGTTTAATTAACTCCCCTTTGTCAATTTTGGCTTTTGTTGCAATTGCTTTTGGCTTTTTTGTCATGAAGTCTTTGCCCATGCCTATGTCCTGAATGGTATTGCCTAGGTTTTCTTCTAGGGTTTTTATTGTTTTGGGTTTTACATTTAAGTCTTTAATCCATCTTGAGTTAATTTTTGTATAAGGTGTAAGGAAGAGGTCCAGTTTCAGTTTTCTGCATATGACTAGCCAGCTTTCCCAGCACCATTTACTGAATAGGAAATCCTTTCCCCATTGCTTGTTTTTCTCAGGTTTGCCAAAGATCAGATGTGTGGTGCTATTTCTGAGGTCTCTGTTCTGCTCCATTGGTCTATACGTCTGTTTTGGTACCAGTACCATGCTGTTTTGGTTACTGTAGCCTTGTAGTATAGTTTGAAGTCAGGTAGTATGATGCCTCCAGCTTTGTTCTTTTTGCTTAGGACTGTCTTGACTGTATGGGGTCTTCTTTGATTCCACATGAAACTTAAAATAGCTTTTTCTAATTCTGTGAAGAATGCTAATGGTATTTTGATGGGAATACCATTCAATCTATAAATTACTTTGGGCAGTATGGCCATTTTTACAATACTGATTCTTCCTATCCATGAGCACGGAATGTTCTTCCATTTGTTTGTGTCCTCTCTTCCTTCCTTGAGCAGTGGTTTATAGTTCTCCTTTAAGAGGTCCTTCACATCCCTTGCTGGCTGTGTTCCTAGGTATTTTATTCTCTTTGTGGTGATTGTGAATGGACGTTCATTCATAATTTGGCTCTCTGCTTGCCTATTGTTGGTGTATAGGAATGCTTGTGATTTTTGCACATTGATTTTGTATCCTGAGACTTTGCTGAGGTTGTTTCTCAGTTCAAGAAGTTTTTGGGATGAGATGATGGGGTTTTCTAAACATAAAGTCATGTCATCTGCAAACAGTGACAACTTGACTTCCTCTCTTCCTATTTGAATACACTTTATTTCTTTCTCTTGCCTGACTGCCCTGGCCAGAACTTACAATTCTATGTTGAATAGGAGTGGTGAGAGAGGGCATCCTTGTCTTGTACCAGTTTTCAAAGAAAGTGCTTCCAGCTTTTGCTCATTCAATATGATATTTGCTGTGGGTTTGTAATAAATAGCACTTATTATTTTAAGATATGTTCCATCAATACCTAGTTTATTGAGAGTTTTTAACATGAAGGGATGTTAAATTTTGTCAGAGGCCTTTTCTGCATCTATTGAGATAATCATGTGGTTTTTTACTTTGGTTCTGTTTATGTGATGGATTATGTTTATTGATTTGTATAAGTTGAAGCAGCCTTGCATACCAGGGATGAAGGCAATGTGATCGTTTTTCGAAGTGCTGCTGAATTCAGTTTGCCAGTATTTTATTGAAGATTTTTGCATTGATGTTCATCAGGGATATTGGCCTGAGGTTTTCTTTTGTGTGTGTGTGTCTCTTCCTGGTTTTGGTATCAGGATGATGCTGATTTTGTAAAATGAGTTAGGAAAGAGTCCCTCCTTTTCAAATGTCTGGAATAGTTTTAGAAAGAATGGTAGCAGCTCCTCTTTGTATTTCTAGTAGAATTCAGCTGTGAATCCATCTGGTCCTGGGCTTTTTTTGGTTGGTAGACTATTAATTACTGCCTCAATTTCAGAGTGTGTTATTGGTCTATTCAGGGATTCAACTTCTTTCTGGTTTAGCCTTGGTAGGGTGTATGCTTTCAGGAATTTATCCATTTCTTCTAGATTTTCTAGTTTATTTGCATAGAGGTGTCTATAGTATTCTCTGATGGTATTCTGTATTTCTGTGGGGTCAGTGGTGATACCCACTTTATTTTTTTTTTATTGTGTCTACTTGATTCTTCTCTCCCTTCTTCCTTACTAGTCTAGCTAGTGGTTTACCTATGTTGTTATTTTTTTCAAAAAACCAGCTCCTGGATTCATTGATTTTTTTGGAGGGTTTTTCTGTCTCTATTTCCTTTTGTTCTTCTCTGATCTTAGTTATTTATTGTCTTCTTCTAGCTTTTGGATTCGTTTGCTCTTGCCTCTCTAGCTCTTTTAATTGTGATGTTAGGGTGTCAATTTGAGATCTTTCTGGCTTTTTGATGTGGGCATTTAGTGCTATAAATTTCCCTCTTAACACTGCTTTAGCTGTGTCCTAGAGATTCTGGTACATCATCATCTCTTTGCTCTCATTGGTTTCGAAGAACTTCTTGATTTCTGCCTTAATTTCATTATTTACACAGGAGTCATTCAGGAGCAGGTTGTTCAATTTCCATGAAATTGTGTGGTTTTTAGTGAGTTTCTTAATCCTGAGTTCTAATTTGATTGCACTGTGGTCTGAGAGACTGTTTGCTATGATTTCAATTCTTATGTATTTGCTGAGGAGTGTTTTACTTCCAATTATGTGGCTGATTTTAGAATAAGTGTCATGTAGCACTGAGAAGAATGTATATTCTGTAGATTTGGAGAGCTCTGTAGATGTCTACTAGGTCCACTTGATCCAGAGCTGAGTTCAAGTTCTGAATATCCTTGTTAATTTTCTGTCTTGTTGCTCTAATACTGACAGTGGGGTGTTAAATTCTCCCACTGTTATTGTGTGGGAGTCTAAGTCTCTTTGTAGGTCTCTAGGAACTTGTTTTATGAATCTGGGTGCTCCTGTATTGGGTGCATATATATTCACAATAGTTAGCTCTTCTTGAATTGTTCCTGTTACCATTATGTAATGCCGTCTTTGCCTTTTCTGATTTGTGTTAGTTTAAAATCTGTTTTGTCAGAGACTAAGATTGCAACCCCGGCTTTTTTTTTTTTCCTTCCCATTTACTTGGCAAAATTTCCTCCATTTCTTTGTTTTGAGCCTGTGTGTGTCTTTGAAGGTAAGATGGGTCTCCTGAATTACAGCACACCAATGGATCTTGACTCTTTATCCAGTTTGCCAGTCTGTGTCTTTTAATTGGGGCATTTAGCCCATTTACATTTAAGGTTAGTATTGTTGTGTGTGAATTTGAATAAATCTCTTTTCTATCTTCCACTGGTTCTGTTTCTCTGGAGAACCTTGACTTATGAAATAATCTTCTTCTTCAGAATGTTATTATCCTTGTACATGAAATATTTAAATGTGCTTCTGGACTCACCTCGAAGGATTCTGTATGGTCTCAGAGAAGGATATTCATAAATGATAATATCTGGAAAACTCCCTTTTTCAGCTACTGTGAAGTAAGTTTTATGTGGATGAACCTAAAAAAGATAAAATTTCACCAAAATATTAAAAGAAAGATTTTTGTATAAATAGGCTGATATATGCAGTATTTAGCATCCACTATTTTATAATTTGTTATTAGGCTTTACTCTAATAGAAAACTCAAAAATGGGCATCAAATAAATATCTGATGATGGATACAACTGAAACTGAAAACTAGAATACAAATTTTAAGTTTTACTTTAAGACAGTCATTTCTAACTCTGTAATTTTTTTAATTGCCATTGGAAGAGCTAGAACAATGGTTCTCAATCTTTAATGTGCATCAGAATCCATTGAAGGGCTTATTAAAATACAGATTGCAAGCCCTAATCCCGAGTTTCTGACTTAATAGGTCAGGCTGGGACTCAAGAATTTGCATTTACATGTCTAACAAGGTAATTTCTAACTAGGTGATTTATATTCTAACAAGGTGATTTACATTTCTAACAAGATGATGTTGATGCAGCTAGTTTGGAGACCTTGCTTTGAGAACAACTAAGTGAGATGAATTGTCTACCCTACATATAAATCAACCTAAATTTTGTATAGAAAAGCTCATGGATTGTATGGGATTCTTGTTTCCAGACCAGGTTATATCACAATTTTTTAAATTTCACTGTGGAAAAAACTTACAAACGAATGAAACTTACTAGAAGTGAGATGTAATATTTCCAAGCCAGACACAGAGGAAATTACAGTAATTGTGCCCTGGATAAACTATTTGTGTCAGTATTTTCAAAGATAACCATATAAGTTGGATAAAATAGTATATTCATTTCTGTTATTTTTGTCTATTGGTAAGCCAAATGTATAGGAAGGGTAAATCACCAGTCAAAAAATGAAAATAAAAATAAGCTGTTATAAGGATGAGCTATTTAAAACACATATGATGCTTATAAAATTCTGTTTTCAGATGTTATTTCACATCTCCTGATTATATATAAGACAAAGAGCCTGGTTCTCAGATATAGATTGATAATCATGGTACCCAAGATAACATTGTTTCCTTTAAATTTTACACCAACCTTGTGAGCTTGGATACCACTATTATCTCCATCTTACTGATGAGTAAACTGAGACACAGAGTTTAAGTAACTTGCCTGTTGTCACACAGTCTACAATGTGTTAAGTGTAAGAGATAGGATTCAAGCCAAATGTTAGAATCAAGAAACAAATGGGACTAAGAAATAGCAGATCTCAAGGAGGTAGGGGAAATGGATTAAGACCATATCTATCTAGATTCCCATTTGTAAAGAAATATGGTGTAGAACATGTGATCAAAGAAATTGGGATGAAGATTCAGGCAAATCCTTTACCCTTCTAGGTCTTGTCTACAGTAAGGTAAAAAGTTTCTGCCTCTCATATTGGAAATTGCTGTGGGGTTGGGTTTGGGAGTTTTATTTATTTATTTATTTATTTATTTATTTATTTATTTATTGAGACACAGTCTCACTCTGTCATCCAGGCTGGAGTGCAGGGGCACGATCTCTGCTGTCTGCAATCTCAGCCTCCCAGGCTCAAGCAATTCTCATGCCTCAGCCTCCCAAGTAGCTGGGATTATAGGTGTGTGCCACCACACCTGGCTAATTTTTGTATTTTTAGTAAATATGGGGTTTCACCATGTTGGCCAGGCTTGTCTTGAACTCCTGGCCTCAAGTGATCCACCCACCTCTGCCTCCCAAAGTGCTGTGATTACAGGCAGGAGCCACTACACCAAGCCAGCAGTTTTATTTTTGGCGAAGAACTGGAATTAGTAAATCATTTACTTTACACTCAACACAGAGATTCACCCTACCTTTTCCAGGTAGGGTGCCCAAACACTTTTCTCATAGGTTTTCTCATAGCCTTGCTAAAGTATTTCTCAACCATAACTGGATAACCGTTTCAGAAAAGATGAGGTAACATGGACAGTGGAGGCAAGGCCTCTGTCACTACCCAGGCTTCAACAGCTCCAGCACACATGGAGAAAAGGCCTTGTGGACATAAAATTGCTCAACATCCAGGTGGATGAGGATTAGGATTAGCTTTTTTTTTTTTGAGACAGAGTCTTGCCCTGTCACCCAGGCTGAAGTGCAATGGCACAATCTCAGCTCACCACAACCTCCACCTCCCAGGTTCAAGTGGTTCTCCTATCTCAGTCTCCTGAGTAGCTGGGATTACAGGCGTGCACCACTGTGCCTGGTTAATTTCTTGTATCTTTAGTAGAGACAGGGTTTCACCACATTGGCCGGGCTGGTCTTGATCTCCTGACCTCGTGACCCGCCCGCCTCCTCCTCCCAAAGCGCTGGGATTACAGGCGTGAGCCACCGTGCTTGGCCAGGATTAGCATTCTTGACCACACTATACCTCTGACTACTGTCCTCAAACCAAATTATTTTATAACAAAATATTAAAATGGAAATTTTAAAGCTATTACTGGCCACAGAGTAATAGATAAATAAGTGATAATTAGATGTTTCTTGGTCCCCTGCAGATGGTGTGGACCTCAGGGTCCTGAAACCTCATAGGCCCCAATTGACTTCCCTCCACAAAATCCACGACCCTCATGTTGGGCCCATGGCTATCTGCACACAGCTATTGCCACATTATCATGCACTTGTGTGTCTAGTTTTTGTTTTTCTTTTTACAAATATAGGTCTTGTCTCTTTAGATGGATTTTAAACTCTGAATTCATAGAGGTCATGAGTTCTTCTTCATTTAAATTCCCTACTATATGTTCTGTGTAGTGTTGGGTGCACGGTATTACATAATAAATTATTGCTGAACTTATTAATTAGTCTTATAACAAACTCTCTGAGGACATGGACTTTTATCATGTATACATACTGTATACAGATAGATGATCCAGAAAGAAACAACCATGATAGTATCTTTCACTCCATACATCTCAATATATCCTGTTTTCATAGTCAATCTATGTCTATGTCCTGTCTATATGTCTCACATTTTCCTCACCTTCTCCATTCCCATGGCCATGTGCCTGCTTCAGTCTTCAGATTAAGATTCTTTAAAATCTCCTTGCTCACCTCCACTTCTAATCTAAATATGAAAAACCTGCACGACTATGGGGAAGTCACCTAACCTCTATAAGCCCATTTCCTTATCTGCAAAAAGAAATAATAATATTATAATAGTGCACAGAGGTAATGATAGTGAATGAGTGTCTGTAATAACTGAATTGAAAATGCCTTGGAATAAAGACAGCTGTGCATCTCATGTGATCCCACAATACTGTGTGTGCATGGTGATGGCATCTAACAACCATATTGGCTGGTCCACAGAACAAGCAAAAAGATAGGGTTTTTTGGGTTTTTTTCCTAATTTATTGAAGGCATACCCCAATGACGCCAATTCCTTCACCACTGCTACTTCGCAGGTAGATCTGTTCCTTGGTTTTCAAATTCAGAAAGATCAGTTGGTTCCCAGCTATGTATATTGCGATACTGTTGTCCAGAAGTTGTAGGTTAGCTCGCTTTCTACAGTCATAACCAAAAGAATGTCTGAGGAAAAGTTGCTAAGGAAAAGAAGTAAAAAACAATACCATCCTAGGGACTGGAAAAGTGATGAAATAAATACATTTTTAAATCTATACTCTTAGATGAAGATATGAGGTTGAAGTAGTTGAATTTTACCCTGAAACTCATGATTTTTCTATGTATTACTAACTTTTTTTTTTAATTATGTGAGAAACAAAAAGCAGGAAAAAAATAAACAAATAAATAAATAAATCAGGTGACTACCCCATACTCTGATTTAGTTACTATTTTAATTTTCCTGGGGAAATCCTGACAGTCCATTAATTGTTTTTGCAAAAATAAATAAGGTTAAACTTATTTGGGTACCACAGACAGCAAAATTGTCACCTACATAATTATATTTTCCTCTCTCCCACTAAAACTAAATCATACTGTATAACATGGGAGAAAGTCTATATCTTGATCACCTTTGTATTCACAATGCCTGTTAAGTTTGTTGACTAACCACAGTAAAAATATTATACAGGCTTTTACCTTGATGTTGAAAGACAAGATGTTTAAAATTTTAACATGTTTGTAAAATTTTAACACACCATTTGATAACATGATTATAATAAATTCACATAAATATAACTAAAATTTAATTCAAATCAACAAATTATGAAAATTGATTAATATATAGCAAATAAATATATATGTAATTAATAGACTAATATTTCTTTTCTGAGCTTATTAGTATATGTATTGGTGTGTAGGTAAGTAGTGTGTGTGTGTATGTATATGTGTGTGTGTGTGTATGCTATAGAGTAAAATTGTACTAATTCAAAATAGAGTGGGACCTAACTCAACTAAAGAGTTTCTGCACTGCAAAATAAATCATCAACAGATTAAACAGATAACCTACAGAATGGGAGAAAATATTCCCAAACTATGCATCTGACAAAGGGCTTACATTCAAAATCTATAAGAAACTTAAAGTAATCAACAAGAAAAAAATAACCCCACTAAAAAGCAGGCAGAGGACTTCAATAGACACTTTTCAAAAGAAGACATGCAAGTGGCCAACAAACATGAAAAACGCTCAACATCACTAATCATCAGTGAGATGTAAATCAAAACCACAACGAGATACCATCTCACACCAGTCAGAATGGCTATCATTAAAAAGTAAAAAAATAAGAGATGTCGGTGAGGCTGTAGACAAAAGCAAATGCTTATATACTATTAATGAGAATGTAAATCAGTTCAGCCACTGTGGAAAGCAGTCTGGAGATTTCTCAAAGAACTAAAAATAGAACTACCATTCAACCTAGTAATCCCATTTCTGGGGATATACCCAGAGGAAAATCATTGTACCAAAAAGACACATGCACTCATATGTTTATCACAGCACTATTTATAACAGCAAAGACATGGAATCAACCCATCAGTGGTGCACTGGATAAAGAAAATGTGGCATATACACCATGAAATACTATGCAGCCATGAAAAGAATGAAGTCATGTCCTTTGCATCAGCATGGATGCAGCTGGAGGCCATTATCCTAAGCAAATTCATGCAGAAACAGAAAACCAAATATTGCATGTTCTCACTTATAAGTGGGAGCTAAATCTTGGGTACACATAGACATAAAGACAGGAACAACAGACACTAGGAATTCCAAAGGGAGGGAGGGAGGGAGGGAAGGGGCAAGGCTGAAAAACTTCCTATTGGGTACTATGTTCACTACGTGGGTGATGAGATCAACAGAAGCCCTAACCTCAATATCACACAATATATCCTTGAAACAAACCTGCATGTGTACCCTCTAAATCTAAAATAAAAATATTTTTTTTAAAAAAGAGGTATATAATCTAAGTTACATAAAAATCTTTTAAATGTATATTGTTATTATGTTTAAGTCAAAATTAATATGCCCAAAATATAAATATAATAACCAAGTTAAATGAGATCAATCTATGAAAAAAACTAGAGTTGACAAAAGAAGCATGTCCTGTAGTGTAGCTTAAGCAGATAGATTCTTTGTTCACAAGAATTTGTTGCTGAACATCAGAGTTGAAGGATCATTGGAGGAATTTGTATTTCTTGAGCCCTTGTTTAAAAAGAAATTCTGGTTTTAGAGGATTCCACTTATTCATAAGTAAATAACAATTTTCAGAGACAGAAATTATGTTAAAGTTTTAAGAAGAAAATGTAGAATGTAAAAAGAGAGATTTACATTAATGCAATTTAAATTGTGAAATATAAACAAATTATAACCAACCACAAGCAGCCTATCTCATTACCAAATAGTTAAATTGAAAGAGAGAGAGAAAGCATTTCAGGGTACTGGATCTGTACAAGAAAAAGAAATTTTATAAATTTAATAAAGACATAAATGTCTAAAATTAAATCTTGTATAGAAATGTGAATGAATATGTGATCCAAATATGTAAATGAAGCTATTCAAGCCTCATGGAGGGAAGTTTTGCCCACCATCTTTTTAACTTCCTTCAAACCACTGCTCTCACCTCCCCTTCTTCCCTTCCTTTCTCTCTTCCCTGGTGGCAATATAAAACCTCAGAAGGCTAAAAGCATGTTAGTAGCTATGAGAATAGAAATTGGTTACCATCTCTTCACTATCTTAGATGAAAATTAGGAATTGGAGAAATTATCATTTATCTAATATTATTATATTTAATTTTAGCAGGAAAACTCCCTTTTACATGCTGCTGCCCTGACAAAAGGCTCTTTCAAACCCAGAATGGGTCAGATTGTAACTTCTAAAATTCCCCCCCTCTAAATTACAACTTACTGAGGGCAATGACTGCTTCTCTCCATCTCTATTTCCCAGAATGCCTAGCACAGTCTTCAGTCTATTAGCAATTCAAGAAATGTTTGTTGAATTATTCAATTCATTAATTTGTGCATAACTAGAATCTGATCCTTTCCTTTTTTTTTTCTTTTCTTTTCTTTTCTTTTTTTTTTTGAGGTAAGGTCTCACTTTGTCACCCAGGCTGGAGTGCAGTGGCATGAACATGGCTCCCTGCAGCCTCAACTTCCCAGGCTCAAGAGATTCTCCCACCTCAGCCCCCCAAGTAGCTGGGACTACAGGTGTACACCATTACACCTGGTTAATTTTTGTATTTTTTGTAGAGACAGGGTTTTGCCATGTTGCTCAGGCTGGTCTCGAACTCCTGAGCTCAAGTGATCTGGCTGCCTCCTGAGCTCAAGTGATCTGCCTGCCAAGCCTCCCAGGGTGCTAGGATTACAGGTCTGAGCCGCTGTGCCTGGCCTGATCCTTTCCTTTTAATCCCAGGGGACAGCAACAGACCCTTAGTAGAGTTCTGAAAATCTTAAAATGTGTTTTGATGTACCTTCAGCTCCCTTTGTTTTATCTCACCTTCTCTTCTGACTTGCCTCTTCTTAAATTCCTGTCAAAGACTCAGAGCTTTCAACGTTTGTTCATGGCCATCTAGGAATTTCACTTTAAAATTGTTTAAACACTGTTAAGTTCTGTATAATCTCTTTTAAAATTATACCATGGTTTAAGTGATACTTTATAAATGGCACATTTCTTGCTATTAAAAGAAAACTTTAGCCAAATTAAATTTAACAGAGTTTAATTGAGCAAAGAACAATTCAAGAATTGGATAGCCTTCTGAGCCAGAGTAGGCCCAGGGACTCCAGTACAGCCACGTGCAGGAAGATTTACGGACTGAAAAAAGAAAGTGATGTACAGAAAACAAAAGTGAGGTACAGAAATAGCTGAATTGGTTACAGCTTGGCATCTGCCTTATTTTAACACAATTTGAACAGTTGGCCACCTTTGACCAAAACTCGGTAACTGGCTCAAGAGTAGGCTAGAGTCTAACTCCCTTTAGGTTATAGTTCACCAGGTACAAAGAAACCTGTAGGCTGAACTTAAAGTATATAAGGAGGCAGCTTTAGGCTAAACTTGATTTAACATTGCTAAAATTTAGAAGACATAAATTTAAAAACTGAAGTAGAGGGCCGGGCGCGGTGGCTCACGCCTGTAATCCCAGCACTTTGGGAGGCCAAGGCGGGCAGATCACAAGGTCAGGAGTTTGAGACCAGCCTGGCCAATATGGTGAAACCCAATCTCTACTAAAAATACAAAAATTAGCCAGGTGTGGTGGTGCATGCCTGTAGTCCCAGCAACTCAGAAGGCTGAGGCAGGAGAATTGCATGAACCCAGGAGGTGGAGGTTGCAGTGAGCAGAGATCTTGCCATTGCACTCCAGCCTGGGCGACAGAGCGAGACTCCATCTCAAAAAAAAAAAAAAACCGGCAAAAACTAAAGTAGAATCAATATAATATATTAATAATCTTTAAAGGGTTAATTAAAAGAGTACTTAGGGAATACATGATGGCTGACTTGTTCTTCCTAGAATTCCTCACAAGATACAGAGATTATATATGTTCATCTCCAGAGAGGAGAACTAAATCTAACAGGGGCCATCCCAGCGAGGCAGAATCCTATTCAAGGCCCAAAAAGCTCTCTAGTGAGTTATGTAAAAGTGGGGTAAGCTACTTTGTGATTTTCCTGGTGTTGAAAATGTTTAAGAAAAGGCTATAGTTTATACAGCCACCCATCCAGCATGAATAGAGAGAATTCATATATTGGAATAAAACTTGAGGTTCTTCTGATTCTGCTGTTTAGAATCTAGGCATGTTTGTCTAATACAGACCCTCCCATCCTGGAGCAGTGAGAAGGCAGGGCACTGCCAAACCATCTCGGAGTTTTTTCAGAGTACATATGCCCAAGCCCCTCTCCACATAGAACTAGCACAGTAGGTCCAGGAAGGCATCAGAGCATTGGGTACTTTAGGAAAACCTTCCAGGGGACTCTAATACACCACCCCACCCCATTCAGGGAAGGAAGGCTAAAATAAAGCAAACAGCATAACTTTTGACAGAAACTTGTCCAAAGATAAGGAAAAAAAAAAAAAGGCCATGAAGAGAGAAAATTCCAGGTTACAAGATGATTCAGCGTTAATTAGTTTAGTTACACCAGGGATTTAATAACATGTTCTATTTTTATGTTTTATTTAAAAAGCAAAACTGAGTCAGTGAGTACACCACTCTGTCTCTGTAAATATTCCTTATGTAAGAGGCCAGTTGGTGGTTTAGGCCATGTGGTGATAACTACTAACTATCCAAAAGGCAAGCATAGTAAATTGCCAGCTAAGGACCTCAGTGGAAGCTGTCTTCTAACTACCTGCATTGCAAACCTAACATCATAATGTGATGACAAACACTAAATCCTCTTGTCAATCATCCCTGCTTCTACATATCTTCAAAGACTCTTATTTTCCAGACCAATTAAAACTTGCTATATTGTGCCCTATTTCCTAAGAATTGTCTTCTCTGATAGCTCATCTGATATATAATGTGAAAGTACTAATACCCTACAACGGACAGACGCATAAGTGTTTCAAAAAGGGAAATTGATTAATTAACTTGACAGGCATTGGCAAAAGTAAATGGGAATAAGAAGCCTTCTGGTTTCCTTCACTCAGGTCTCATGAACTGCAGCCTTTCCACTTGTGCAAAGGACAGCCAGAAAAACATCATTTCTCTTTATGGTTATTTGGCATCAAACAAAAGCTTAGTTTAAATTAAGATCATGCATTTCTATCAAATCTCTAAGAACTCAAGTTTCTTAGAATTACCTAAGATGGGTTGGCACCCTTTTTTTGTAAAGGGCAGGTAGTAAATAGTTTCGGCCTTGTAAGCCAGATGGTCTCTGTCACAACTACTTATCTCTGTCTTTGTTGTGTGATGGCAGCCATAATAAACAAAATGCAAGCAAATGGATGTGGCTGTGTTGCAATAAAACTTGATTTACTAAAACAGGTGGGAGGGTACATTTGGGCTCCCCGGGCTATAGTTTGCTGACCTCTGACCTAAGAAATGAAAATACCAAAATTATACATATTTAGCCAGGGTGGATACACGAGTGTGAGAAGATCCAGTGGTATGTCTGAATCCAGAGTCACAAAAGGCATCGAAGCAAGCTCCATATAATCATAGAAGAAGCTCTCTGATATTTTCTTCTTAACTTCCTCCTCTGCCTCTTCCACAGCTGGGGCAGGGGTTTGCTGAGATACTAAAAAAATAAAATAATTTAAGAAGAATGATATGGTTTGGCTGTGTCCCCACCCAAATCTCATCTTGAATTGTAGTTCCCATAATCTCCACATGTCGTGGGAGAGACCTGGTAGGAGGTAATTGAATCACAGGGGCTATTACTTCCATGCTGTTCTCATGATGGTGAATGAGTTCTTACAAGATCTGATGGTTTTATAAGGGACATTTCCCTCCTTCGCTCTGCACTTCTCCTTGCTGCCATCATGTGAAGGACATGTTTGCTGCCCTTTCTGCCACAATTGTAAGTTTCCTGAGGCCTCCCCAGCCATGCAGAACTGTGAGTCAAGTAAACCTCTTTCCTTTATAAATTACCCAGTCTCAGGTATGTCTTTATTAGCAGCGTGAGAACGGATTAATACAAAGAGTATCTGGTGAATCCAAAATTGTATTTCGCAGAGACAGGAGGTATGTACACAGCCTGCAATACTCTAGCATTACCTACTACTACTGGCCTGAAGATAGGACACAGTCATCAGTGAGCAAGGAAGGAAGAGCCATCAGGTCCACGTGCATCAGGAGTAAATGCTGAGTTCTGGTCTGTCATGGTGCAACAGTCTCTAAGGGGAACTCCCAATTACTTCCAAGGGAGAGTTGAACTCCCAATAATCTGCAGTGGAACAGTTTTTATACCTTCTTAAAACCCAGAAGAATGAGTATCAGAGTACTGTATGTGATCCTCAGAAATAAAAACCACAAGTCTAGGGCTGCTAAAGTACCCTACCAAAATATGTACAATACTTGCCCTTTTATCATTCCCACACATATACACATCCTGCAGATTTTTCTTTCTATGGATTTATAACTGTTCCATTAGTCTGTGCTTTGTCTTTAAAATAGTGACAATTACTGACAGAAAACTAATAATACCTACCTCTAGTGCTTTGCAAATCATCATACTGAAATGAACTCAAACTTCCTTCCAAACGTTCCTCATCTGAGTCTTCTTCTAAATATGATTCTTCCCCTTCAGTAAATGTTTCATCTGTGGCATCTTCTAAAAACGTGTCATCTTCTTGAACAGGAGCTATTAAAATTTGTTTTAATAACTTCTAAATTTTGATTAAACATTTTCTTACATCTAAAGTAGCTAAAACTTCCAATTTGCTTGTGCTATAGATGTAATAAATTCTAATATATACTCAAAAATTTCTAGAAGAATCATTTTATTTGGTCAGTCTTGTAACTTTACAAAATAAAAAAGGCTTTTCTGTTTTTTAATCTCCATTTTCACTTCATTTCCAGTCTATTTCCTATCACTAAATACTTACAATAAAAAGATAAAGAAAAAAAAGAGGTTAGTATGCTGCTATCATAATTTCAACTAAATTCAATTTTACCAACTTTTATAGGGAACCTGTTAAGTTAAAGACAAATAAGGCTTATTGTCTTTCTCTGAGTATGATGATTTCTCTTGGAAGTGATATCACAGGAATAAGTTGGAATATTGGCTTTAGGACAAGCTGGGAATGAGAACTGGGATAGGAGTAAAATGGCCCCAGGTATAAGCCAACATTCAGATCAAGTCCAAACATGGGGATGGTTAAAATATACAATGCCAAGTAGGATGGGTATACTTTCATATAGGGCTAGGTGAATTTTCAGAAGAATAAGGAAGAAAAGGCAAATGTACTACTAAGTACCAGAGCTACATAGTAGATCTGAGATGAGGCTAAAGATTAGGAACAAAGCCCAACACTAATATGAATAAAAGCTGAGCCAACACAATTAGTTGCAGAACAGGACAGAGTTCCTTAGGATTCATATATTTGGATGACAAGAAAGTAATACTGGGTGCCTAAATCAGCCAAACAGATTCCCCAAGTGAGGGCCCTGGAGAACTATTCTCTAATAATACTTTAGCTCTTTCTTGTGACTGTAGCAACCAAAGACTATTTCCTCATTTCAAGATTATGGCACTACAAGCGTAACACTCCTAACTGCTGGGTTCCCCGGGAAAGGAGTTAGAACTGGTAGATAAGGTGATCACTGATTAACGAATTGAGAGTGAATACAGATGAAGGAGAAGAGGTAACAAAAAATAATGGGTATTCTGAGACTGGAGAAGGATTGTGCCTCTGAGGGAAAACTAGAGTTTGGGGAAAAAAACTAATTGGGCAGGAAGTAGGCACATTAAACCAAGATGGTGAATCAGCACACTTAGGCAACTTTGTGAGGGCTGGATATTTCTATAATTTTTATAATCCTGAAATAGATGGGTGGAAGACTTATGGTTTGAAGAATAAATCAGTATTTGCCTTTCTATTCTTGGAAATAATCTAAAATCAACATTGAGAATAAATGCCAAAAACACAAACTCCATTTTTTTTGTAGAACTAGCAGTTAAAATTCAAAATCACGAATGGATGGCAGGGCTGCTGGCAAAATTAGTGGAGACTGAACAAGGATAGGTGCTGGAGGAAGCAAAGGAAAGTGACCAAGGAGAAAGGAATGCCATAACCGTAGATATCAAAAAGAATCTGCTGGGATTTTTGCTGTATGACTCACAATTTTATATGTGAGTTTCTTCACTTTTTTGTTTGTTTGTTTCCTCCAGCCAATGTATGTAGCAAGCTTTGGGGCCTCTCCTCTGCAGCTATCACAGAGATACTGCTTCCTGCAAACAGTTTGCCTCTATGATTCCTTATTTATCTCTACCTTTTCCATGAGATTGAGAACACTGTAAGAAAGCCTAAAAATGCTATGGTTGCATATACAGAAAAATCCGTAAGAGCTACTTTATAAAAAAATTTATAAGAATTAAATTATAATTTATTATAATTTTTAAAAGAGTTCAGCATGGTTATTGCATACAACAACAATATACAAATATTGATAGTAGGCATGTATACTTTGGCTATTATGAAGTAACTAGTACCAAGCTGCTCTCTTACTATGATTGTGGAATTACTTCGTTTTTCCTTGATTCTGTCTATTTTTGCTTTGTGTATTGTGATGTTGTTACTAGGTGAATACATATTTATGATTATTATGTTTTCTTAACTGATCTTTTTATCTTTATGAATAAATTGATCCTCTTACCCTATGTCACTGGTAGTACTCTTTGCCTTGAAGTCTATTTTATCTGGTATTAATATAGTCACTCCACCCAGATTATGCTTACTTTTTGCATGATATATCTGTTTCCATCCATTTACTTGCAACCTATTTGTATCATTATACCTAACATGTGTCTTCTATGAGCATCATATAGTTGGTTCTTGTTTTTATTAGCCATGCTGATAATCTCTGCCTTTTTATACTAATGTTCAGCTAACTAATGACGTAGTTATTGATATGGTTAGATTTTAATAACATATGCTTGTGAAATTAACAAATAATATTTGATAATTTATTTTGTTTTTCTCCTCCTACCTATCATTTTTCCCTCTTTTTCTCTTTCCATGTTTTCTTTTAGATAATTTACTCTTTAGAATTCTATTTAAATTTCCATTGGCTTTTTAGCAGTTCTGTGTTTTATTAGTGGTTGCTTCAGAGATTATACACAACAACTTTTCACAGTCTACTTAGAGTTACTATTTATTTTAGTAATACGTATCTTTCAGCAATTGATAGAACTAGTCAAAAACTTAGTATAGATGATCTGAACATCGCTATCAACCATCCTGACCTGACATTTATAAAACACTTACACCTACCAATACAGGATGTACATTCAAGTACACATGGGTCATTTACCAAGACAGATCACTTGCTGAGACATAAGACCAGTTTTAATACATTTAAATGGATTGCGATTATATAGAATAGACATGTTCTCTGAAAACAACAGATGTAAGTTAGAAACCAATAATGATAAAATACCTTGGAAAAAAGTTCCATATTTGGAAATTAAATTACACAATAAAAATAATTCATGGGTCAAGGGGAAATCAACAAAGAAATCAGAAAATTTTTCAAATTAAATTATTATTAAAATACAATATATTAAAATTGAGATATAGCTAAAGCAGTCCTTGGAAGGAAATTTATAGCTTTCAATACATATGTAAGAAAAGAACAAAAGTCAAAAAAAAAAAAATCAATGACCTAAATTTCCACCTCAAGAAGTTAGAAAAATAAATGGAAAAAAAAAAATCCAAAGTAAATGAGCAAAGCCAAAATCTTAGTCTTTGAAAAGATCAACAATATTGGTAAGTTCCTAGCTAGCCCAATGAAGAAATAAAAGAGAAACAACATAAATCTCCAACATCAAGAATGAAAACAGATCCTACAAAGTTATGTCAACAAATCTGACAATTTAGAAGAGAAGTGAGCAAATTCCACGAAAGATACAAACTTGTAAAACTTAGTAAAGAAGAAATAGAGGGCCCTCTATTTAAAAAATTGAATTAACGGTTTAAATTTACCCACTCATCAAGAAAATTCCAGGTCTAGACAGTTTTACTGGTAAATTCTACCAAGCATTTAAGGAAGAAATAATGCCAATTCTACACAATAAATTTTTGAAAATAGAAAAGAACAAAATACTTCCCAAAACTATTAAATAAGCTCTGCAATAATTTAATCCTTTGATAAGAATCAGAAATCAATGCCTTAGTAACTAACAATCCTTCACCATTGTGAGAAATGATGGACGGTTTAGCTGGTACACTCAGCCTAAATTTCTTACTAGAACTCAGAGATAGCAGAAACTTCTTGTTAAGTATGGAAAAAAGTCTATCCAACTTCTCTGCTTGGATGTGATAGAAGGACTTTTATTCATTCTCTTGAGAGTCCCAAAGAGCAAAAACTTGCCCTGATGTTTTAGCAAGCCTGAGAGCAAAGCAAGGTTTCCACGGTTGTGGGGAATGCAGCTATCAGGTATTCAGAGGTGACAACGTGCCAGCAGCCCTCGCTGGCTCGTGGAGCCTCCTCCGCCTCGGAGTCCACTCTGGCCTCGCTTGAGGAGCCCTTCAGTCCACCGCTGCACTGTGAGAGCCCCTCTCTGGGCTGACCGAGGCAGGAGCCGGCTCCCTCTGCTTGCAGGGAAGTGTGGAGGGGGAGGTGCGGGCAGGAACCCGGGCTGCTTGTGCTGCACTGGTGGGCCAGCGCGAGTTCCAGGTGGGAATGGGCTTGGTGGGCCCTGCACTCAGAGGGGCCGGCTGGCGCCCCCAGCCCCAGGCAGTGAGGGCCTTAGCACCTGGGCCAGCAGCTGCAGAGGGTGCGCCGGGTCCCTCGGCACTGCCGGCCCGCACATGCCAGCCTCGCTCAAATTCTCGCTGGGCCTCAGCCACCTCCCGGCGGGGCAGGGCTCAGGACCAGCAGCCCACCATGCCCAAGCCCCTCCCACAGAGGTCTCCCACAGGGCCTGAACCTCCCCTGGGGGCGCTGCCCGCTGCTCTGCAGCGCCTGGTCCCATAGACTGCCCAAGGGCTGAGTAGTGCAGGCGCTGCGTGGGATTGGCGGGCAGCTCCGCCTCCACCAGGGGCGGGATCCACTAGGCGAAGTCAGCTGGGCTCCTGAGTCTGATGGGGACGTGGAGAAATTTTATGTCTACCTAGAGGATTATAAATGCACCAATCAGCACTGAGTCTAGCTAGAAAATTGTAAATGTACCAATCGGCACTCTGTGTCTAGCTAAAGGTTTGCAAACGCACCAATCAGTGCTCTGTGTCTCCTAATCTAGTGGCAACTTGGAGAACTTTTGTGTCTAGCTAAAAGATTGTAAATGCACCAATCAGCACACACCAATCAGCACTCTGTCAAAACGGACCAATCAGCTCTCTGTAAAATGGACCAATCAGCAGGATGTGGGTGGGGTCAGATAAGGGAAAAAAAGCAGACTGTTCAGCCAGCAGCGGCAAGCCCCTGGGGTCCCCTTCTAGGCTGTGGAAGCTTTGTTCTTTCGTTCTTTGCAAGAAATCTTGCTGCTGCTCACTCTTTGGGTCCGCACTACGTTTATGAGCTGTGACAATCACTGGGAAGTTCTGCAGCTTCACTCCTGAAGCCAGCAAGACCACGAACCCAACAGGAGGAATGAACAACTCCAGATGCGCTGCCTTTAAGGGCTGTAACACCGCAAAGGTCTGCAGCTTCACTCCTGAAGTCAGCGAGACCATGAACCCACCAGAAAGAAGAAACTCTGGACACATCTGAACATCTGAAGGAACAAACTCCGGATACACCATCTTTAAGAACTGTAACACTCACCGCGAGGGTCCACGGCTTCATTTTTCAAGTCAGCCAGACCAAGAACCCACCAATTGTGGACACGGTATGAGGCTGAACCAGGAGAGAGAGACCTCTTCACGAAGCAACAAGGTACAGGATGTTCAGAATGCCAGAAAATTATTTCACATTATCATTTGGGATTCTAAGACCTATGATATGTAAACTAATTAATAAGCTGAGCACTGGGCCAGGTCACACTTGAAAAGCTCTGCCCCTAAGAGAGTCTGACATAAGGAAGGGAGGTCCTGAAGGCAGTGCTAGACAAAGGGTCATTATCATTAAATCCATCAAGGGAAAGTTGTGAGTAGCATCCAGGAAAACACTGCCAAGGACTGGAAACCAAACAACAGACAATCCTGTGTCAGAAATGTGGGGAATACAGAAAAAGGAAAAACAAGGGGGGAACAAACTAAAGTTTCTGAGGTAAGTGATATAATCATACTTTTTGGAAAGAACTCTAGTGGTGGTGTGGAGGGAGATCTGGACAGGAAGACTGAGGTAGAAATCCGTGTTGCAAGAGTCCAAACCACAGAAGATAAATGCCTAAAATAAAATATATTGTGGAGAAACTGGATTTACAAGACGTGTCTGCGATAGATTAAAAGAATTTAATGCAGATTTTGCATGTGTATTGATTTTCCCAGGACCTGATTTTATCTAGGTGAATAGTCAAAATTAAATTTCTAAAATCATATTTAGAATTAGAACCTTAAAAAGTCAAGATTGCACTAAGATACCTAACAGTGTGATAGTCAGAAAGAACCAGCCATCTTTCAAAAAATCCTACTTATAAAATTTCTCCTTTTTTCCTCCATTGCAGTTTATGAAGTCCTTCCACATGTTATCCAATTTAATTCCCAAGTGACATATAATTGTTTTAATGGGTGAGAAAACGGAGGCTCAAAAAGATGTGGTAATTTTTCCAAGGTCAAGCATCTCTAAATGGTAGATATAGGACTCAAAACCAAAGTCCAGGTCTCTTTCCACTACATTGTATGAAAAAAGTCCATATAAGACTTAGTAGCTCTCACAGGAGAACTCTAGACGAGACGTGTGTATAGGTTATTATCGACCTGTGTGCCAGGAGCTGTGATAAACAGGTAAAACACAGACTGCTTTTAAGGAACTTTGAGCTTTTGTAAGGGAGTTGAACAAGTAAACCATTTCTGTTCTATAAACCCAGATATGCACTATTTATATTTTGCCCATTTTTTTGACTTTTAGAAATTATTTTTATTTTTGTTGAAGTACATGCCCATAACTTAAAAAGTCAAGTAATGCTAAAAGACTTGTCTTTTGAAATACTCAACTTTTCGCTGCTTAACAGCCTTCTCTCTCCAGAAGAATCGCTTTTAGCATTTTTTTTTTTTGAGACAGGAGTCTCGCTCTGTCGCCCAGGCTGGAGTGCAGGGGCGCGATCTCGGCTCACTGCAAGCTCCGCTTCCTGGGTTCACGCCATTCTCCTGTCTCAGCCTCCCGAGTAGCTGGGACTATAGGTGCCCGCCACCGCTCCCGGCCCACTTTTAGCTTTTAATCTTTTTTCTTCTGATATTTACCTCCATATATCTAAATAATATGGATATACTGCTCTCTCTAGCCACTTTTAGACAGTGTTTATTATGGGAAGATGAAGAATGTTAAATCTCTACCACCACTTGCTATCTCTCCGCCCTTGCAATATAATTAAAGTGCAACAAAACATAGTGAAGTCTATGCTTACTGTTTTTAGTATATTGCCTTAATAACACTCATTCCTGAGTTAAGAATGTATTATTTTATTTCCTTCTTGAACAACTCACTTTTCTAAAACTAATATCTCACTTTTTTTCACTTTTTAACTTTCTGGAATCTCCTGATAAATCTTCCCACATCTTGCCATAGTTCTATAAATTCACTCAATTCAATTTTCTACATGCATCTATCAGATAATCTAGTTAACATTTTTAACTTCTGGGAGGTGAAAATTCTCCTTTCCTTGCTTCAGTATAATTGTTCTCTGCATGGCTGCCCAGGTGTCATCCTAGGTATTAACTTTGCCTTATTTCTATTTTGAATCTCCTATTTCCTGTACCATAAGTAGTCTTTTTTCTTTGCTAACTCCATGATTTTTATGGATCCCACCTTCCTACAGCTTTCTGGGAACAGGGAGTATAAAAGATCTGTTTTGGCCTAGTACGGTAGCTTACGCCTGTAATCCCAGCACTTTGGCAGGGGATCACCTGAGGTCAGGAGTTTGAGACCAGCCTGACCAATATGATGAAACCCCATCACTACTAAAAATATAAAAATTAGCCGGGTGTGGTGGCGGGCGCCTATAATCCTAGCTACTCAGGAGGCTGAGGCAGGAGAATCACTTGAACCCAGGAGGCGGAGGTTACAGTAAGCCAAGATTGTTCCATTGCACTCCAGCCTAGGCAACAACAATGAAACTCCATCTCAAAAAAAAAAAAAAGAGATCTATTTATAACATCCTGCTCTTTCTATTCTACTATAAAAATTGATTATTTAAATGTTTACCTAAATTTAATACTTTTAAAAGTATACATATTATCTTTACTTACATCTTGATTCCGATTTAGAAGACCTCAGAGACTTCTTCCCATCACTCTTTGATGTAACTGATTTCTCCCCATCAGTATCCTGATCATCTGGTTCCTTCATTTCCTCTGTAAGTACAAAATTGGGATGAGATATGGATAATGCTGTAAAATAGAAACTAACAGATTTCCCCCTAACAAATTTCATAAGCACCAAACACCATGTGTGTCAATAATCCTTTGTTTGCACAGGATTCAGGATGACCCACCAGCAGGAGTGTGCAACTACCATCAGAGACCTCTGACCTCTGCAAGACAGCTAATTATAATCACAGATTCTCTTTCTCTGGGTGAACTGTCATTGTGGTGCACTTTGGTTTTCCAGAGGTCCACAGTGAAACACACTACCAAAGTTCATCTTTTCCCCAAATGCTTCACCACTAAAATTAACCTGCCATCCTACCTTTGGTCCATCCCTCCCTCTTTCTCTATTTTCAAATTCTCTTGGAGTTACTAATCAACTTCAGTTTTTAAAATATTTTTCGAGCATACCTGCAGCGTACCAAGTCTTATGTTGGGTGCTAAATTACAAAACTGGAGAAGAGAAATATGGGCCCTAACTTTATGGAGCTTGTTTAGAAAGATAGATATTAAACAAGCAATTAAAATAATGAGTGCTACTAAAAGGAAAATAGAATGTACTGTGGGCATGTATAACAAGAATCCTAAAACATGATGGGGGGTTAGAGAAGAGGTGTTTGAGACATGGATGACAGTCAGGAGTTGGCCAAGCATAGAATGTGAAAGATATGTTAGGCACATCAAAGAGGGCTGCATCTTTAAAGGGCTGCAAGCAGTCTTTTGGCTAGAGTGGGAGAGTAAAACGGATACTGAAGAGGAGGTGGGTACCATATCATAAAGTTGTCTCTAGGCTTTGCTAAGAAGTTTATACCTTATTTCCTTGACAACTGAAAACCATTAAAGGGTTTTAAAAAGGGGAGTGACACAACAGGTTTTCTCTGCCCTCTGTCTATATTGCAGCTTTTCATATATTTGAAAACACCTTCCTTATAAGTCTTCACTTCTCTATACTAAACACCCCATGTTTCCTCAACATTCTTCTATGATATGCCTGGCAAGCAGAACGGAACACCAGTTCTATTTGGATCAGATTTATAGTTAGATTAGGGTCTGAATCCCAGTACTGACATATAACTAGCTAACTAAACTTTACATGAATTCTCCAACTGTAATGGGAATGAAGACAAAACTTTTTACAAGCCTGCTATGAGGGCTATTTAAACTGCCACACTGTGATATCTTCCTGGTCTCTGAAGATAGACTGGTATGCCTACAGCAGATATGGTACACTACATGATCAAAGGACAAAGGAGAGTGTAGTATGATGACTGTCTCCCTTCAAATGGGCACCAGGGTTCACTCTATGTTTTCCTGCAGTGACATCATAATGATGCCTTCTTTTGATATGGGGGACAACAGTACATTGTCTAAACATTTGTATTATAAACTATCATCAAGAAAGATACAGACCAGGCTCAGTGGCTCATGCCTGTAATCCTGGGAGTTTGACAGGCTGAGGCAGGAGGACTGCTTGAAACCAGGAGTTTGAGACCAACATGAGAAACATAGCAAGACCCTGTCTGTATTAATTTGTTCTCACACTGCTAATAAAGGCATACCTGAGAACAGGTTATTTTATAAAGGAAAGAGGTGTAATTGACTCACAGTTCGGCATGGCTAAGGAGGCCTCAGGACACCTACAATTACAGCAGAAGGGGAAGCAAACACCTCTTTTCTTCACATGGCAGCAGCAAGGAGAAGTACAGAGCAAAGGGGAAGAAAACCCCTTACAAAAGCATCAGATTTTGTGAGAACTCACTATCACAGGAACAGGATGAGGTAACTGCCCCCATGATTCAGTTATCTCCCACCGGATCCCTCCCATGACACATGGGGATTATGGGAACTATAATTATGATGGGATTTGGGTGGGGACAGAGCCAAACTGTCTCTAAAAAAAAAATTAAAATGGCCAGGCATAGTGAGGTATGCCTGTAGTCTCAGCTACTCAGGAGGCTGAGGCAGGAGGATGACTTGAGCCCAGGAGTTTGAGGCTGCAGTGAGCTGGGATCGCACCACTGTTTTCCAGCCTGAGTGACAGAGCAAGACTCTGCTTCTAAAATAAAAAAATAAAAAATAAAAAAAGATATGGTCTAACATGATACTCATGTTATTAAATTTTGTATTTTGTACTTTGGAGGCATTCTTCTGGGTTACAAAAATAATGTTTTACTTTTTAAAAAGTGTATGTACGTGTGTGTATTTTCCTTTCCTTTCTTTTTTAGTTGTGAATCTTCCTTCCTGTCTCTCTCCATCCTTTCTTCCTTTTCTCCTTCCCTTCCTTCCTCTTTCCTTCCACCTAACTGTAGAATATATACCTTTTGGGGTTTATGGAGGGGGTGGGGTTAGGAATCAAACCATAAAATCCTTTAAGTAGCAAAATCTTTTAAAATTCATATTCTGTCATTCAGTATATTTTCTACTCCTTCCAGTTTTGGACACACAGGCTTACTTTTCTACATTATAGTGAGTAACTGGTTTAAAAAAAAAAAAAAAAAACTATGCAGCCAATTCAATTATTACAGAGCTTGGTTATAAACGACCACGTACTGTGGGTAAAATTGTTTAGATAGGTACACACACACCTATATTCTATTTTCTCGTTCGCTTTCATAATTTAAGTCAATTTAATTCTTAAAACTATTGAGCATATTATTATGCTAGGCATTGCAGAGGATACAAAGGTGAGCAATATACAGTCCCTGACCTCAATGTATAATTCGAGATGAAGAAATTAACAATTCTCTTTCAAAATAGTTTCAGAATAAACTTATCTTCTAAATCACTGATTCAGATCCATCAGAAGTTGACCAAAACAAGGATGGTTTGATAGTCGTGACTGAAGTGACTGATCACTAATGATTTATTTGATAAAAATCCACATTTAAAGTATTGGAAAGAAACTAAAGTACTCCCTAAGTTCCCATGACACAGGTCCCAAATAAGTGAAGGCAAGGCAGTTCCCTGGGTTTTCCAACAAAATTGAACTGATATTCTACTGCTGCTAATCAATTGATAACTAAATGAAAATTTTTGGTCTGTGAGTTTCAATAGCACTTTATTCTGTAAGTAGGTACTGTTTTAGTTTTCCCTTGCTGCCATATAAATTATCAGACATTTAGCAGCTTAAATAACATCCACTTATTATTTCACCGCTTTGTGGGTCAAAAGTCCAGGCCAAGTGTGACTCAGCTAGCTCTCTGCTTAGAGTTTCAAGAGGTTGTTAAGGTGTTGGCAGTGCTGCCTTCACTTTCAGAGGCTCTGAGGAAGAATCTACTTCCGGGCTCATTCAAGCTGCTGGCAGAATTCAGCCCCATGTGGCTGTGGAACAGTGATCCCTGCTTTCTTGCTGGCTGTTGCCCAAGAGTCCTTCTAAGTTCCAGAGGCCACTCGCATTCCTTGACTTATGGTACCCTTTAAAGCCAGGAATAATGGGTCGAGTTCCTCCTAGTGATTTGAATCTCATGATGTTCTTTCCTGCTATCATAAGCCTCATGACTTAGTGAAATAACTTTCTACTTTTCAGTCTTCTTTTTTCTGAATACATTTATTTTTAACACTATAACAATGTTAACTGGATATAGAGTCTAATAAAAAGAGCCCATAATTTATTCATAACATAATCATAAGGCAAGCAGGGATGTGAACCCAAGTCTCTCTGGCTCCAAAGTCTCCACAGGTTACAATGTAGCTTCCCAATCCCTTTGTTATTAAAACAAAACAAACAAAAACCTCCCCGAAACAAAAGTACCTTATTCTACCCTACCATAATTGTTTTTTAATTGGGTAAAAAACAATTATGGTAACTAAAGCACTCTGAAAACAAAAGAGTTGGACTACAACAAAAGGTAAGTTGGTGTCAAGACAAAAGCACCACACTTTATTCTGTGCTATCTTAAACAATATATTCCTCAAATGGCTAATATGACCATGTAATAAACTTTCACGTCACAAACCCAGTTAATGTCAGGTTGTGTACAATGTGGAAGAAAATACTGGAACCCAAGGAATTTGCCCAGTATTCTGATGTAGCAATACCGGACAATGAATACTAGGATCTATTCCTAGCTTTCCTGGATCATAAAAGGTAATTGAAGAACCTGTAAAAAGCAGCGGAGCGGGTCAGGTAGGAGAGACTCCTGTTCTCCTAGAGATGATCAGTATAACTGGTAGGGTAGAATAAGGTACTTTTGTTTCAGGGAGGTTTTTGTTTGTTTTGTTTTAATAACAAAGGGATTGGGAAGCTACATTGTAACCTGTGGAGACTTTGGAGCCAGAGAGACTTGGGTTCACATCCCTGCTTGCCCAAGAAACAAGTTCCTTAACCTCTTGATCCTTTAATATGTAAAATGGGGGTGATAGGGTTATTTGGTAGAGTTAAACAAGATTTTTCATATACAGAGCTCTCAACTTTGACTGCACTTTAGAATCACTTGGAAAGCTTAAAAATGTACTATTAACAGGGTCTCACTCTCCAGATAATTCTTTCACACAATCAGGCATAAGAACTGGTTAGGAATCATGAGTTTATATAAAACACCTACTACACACACAGAAATGGCAGTTGTTTTTACTATACTCCTAGATATTCTCTTTGACACAGGTAGGGTTCAATAAATAAAATCATGGAATCTTCAGAGTTGAAAGAGGACTTTAGTTTAACTTGCTACCCCATGCAGGTCACACATCCTCAACATCCACCCCAGCACTGTCAGAAAACCAGTGTTGGCCAGGGCTGAGAATACTGGCTACAGAGTCAGTCTGACTAGGTTTAAATCTTGGCTCATCCTCTTCCTGGCTGTGAGGTGCTAACCCAGTATTTAATTGCTGTGTGCCTCAGTATTTCCATCTTTAAAATGCAGCACCTACTGGATAAGGTTGTTCTGAGTCAACACAGGAAAGCTCTAACAATGATACATGGCAGTCAATATGTAAAATGGTTGCAGGAATGAATTTATTAATGTATTTCTGAATAAATGAAAGAACAAGATAGTCAGCTTCAATTTAAATATTTCGGGTAAGAGGGTGAGAACATTCTGTTAATGCTCAGCTCTAGTTCTTGGCACATTTTATATTAAGCTGAAATCTGCCTCCCTGCAACTTGGATCCATTTGACCCTTGTTTTTTCTTCTGAGAAAACACAGAACAAGTTTTTCTGTGTACTTCAACCATTCAAATAATTGTAGTTGGCTCTCATTTCTCTCCAGATCTTCTCTTTTCCCAGAGAAAGTATCCCAATTATTTCAATTATTCCTCAATGACATGTTCCAACTTTACTACCCTGATAGCTCAAGAAGTTAATTCCCAATGCATCATATGTCCCTCCTAATTTTATATGCTCTTGATAGGATCTGGACACTCTCCACAAGAGAGGAACTACCAATTCACCTATTGGGGACATTCATTGTATTCCTTTAAGGCAGTCTAAGTTTGGGTTCTAGACCATGTTCTACCTTCTATCAGTAAACTAGCTAGGTTTGTGAGTCTATTTTCAGGACTAGCATAAATTCCCTTTCATTAGATCCAGGCTTATTGGTCCAGCCTACGGCCAATTCTTTTAACTAACTCTTTAGATAGACTGCACAGTTTTGAGTTGTGAAAGTTGTCAGAATTACAATGGAGTCACCAGTGTTAAGAAAGAACCCGACAAATAGAGCTGGGGAAGGCTATGAAGAATGGCTTCTCACACTTTTATGCTGGATAACTATCCCAAAAGACTGCAAAGACCACAGCCTTGCACAAAGCCATCACAACCTTACACATAAAAAAAAATACTTCTACAAGGATATTTGTTCAACAATTACCTGTCCAACCTCAGACTAGCATCACACTTATTGTTGACCTTTGTAGCCAACGATAACTATCTCAAAATAATTATGTAATCTTTTTCATTTTTCCTTTAAAAACCTTTGTTTTCCTTTACCTCCCTGAATACACATATAGTTTACCATGGCACACATATCCCATTGCAATACCTTACTCCTGAATAAACATTATCTTCTTTTAGAAAGCCTCTCTCTGTATGTTATTTAGGTCGACAGGGTCAACCCTAAGTAAGTATAAAGAAAAAGGGAAAATAATAGTACACATTGATGCAGAGTAGTGTGTTGCTAGAAGGTTGGCTGGACGCCAGACAGAGCACTCTCTAAGGTGGCATTACTCTGATTCATTCACCAGAGTCCAGGTTGTGGTCCTCATGCTCACAAGCTCACTCAATCCCAGCAGTGTGCCAGAGGTGGTAATTTAAAGTTCACAGTGACTGATGTATAAAACAGGCTCTCAGTTTTTACTTTGCAATGTGAAATACAGCTGTGGAGAAAAAAAGTAATAGTTTGTCTTTTTTACTGTTTACTATGTGTCAAGCACAGTTCTAAGAAATTCTACACATATTATTGTATAATTCTCAAAACGACCCTATGAGGTAGGTACCATTATTATTTTATTTATTTATTTATTGACATGGAGTCTTGCTCTGTCACCCAGGCTGGAGTGCAGTGGTGTGATCTCAGCTGACTGCAACCTCCACCTCCCGAGTTCAAGCGATTCTCGTGCCTCAGCCTCCCGAGTAGCTGGGATTACAGGCACACACCACATCGCCCGGCTAATTTTTGTATTTTTAGTAGACGGGTTTCCCTGTGTTGGCCAGACTTGTCTCAAACTCCTGACCTCAGGTGATCTACCCACCTCCGCCTCCCAAAGTGCTGGGATTACAGACGTGAGCCATGGCGCACAGCCTATTATTACTATTTTTGAGACAAAGTCTTGCTATCCATTATTATTATTGTCATTATTTTACAGATGAGAAAGCAGTGCATTTACTCTGAATCCGTTCCTCTCATCCAATTCATGTAAATGATTTCCAAGTCCTGTTACTAACTGTCCAGTGATTAAGCCTTTTGAATTCCTCCCCTCCCTTCATTCCTACTGTCCCTGCTGTCCCTCTATAGTTCCAGTTCTCATTGTGTCTCACCGCTATCATTACTGTACCGTCATACTTCGTCTTCCCTTCTGTAATCCATTTTCTACTCTATCGCTTGTATTTCTAAAACACAGCTTTTAATGTGCCACTCTTGCTTAAAACTTCTAATGGCTCATCACTGCCATCAAATAAGAGCTCAGATTCGTCGATCTGGCGTAAAGGTCCATTGTCAGAGGGTCTGTAGCTTATTGCAGTCCAGCTACAGTCACTCTCTACCTAGCCTCCTTAGCTCCTTCTCCTCTCCAAGGTTTTCATCAGCACGCATCCTTAGCAACTCATGATTGATTGGACACACTGAGCAGCACACATGTATGCGACTGTCTTTACCTATTATACAACAAATATTTATGTGCACCTACTATGTGCCACGTATGTGCTAAGCACTTTACTTGTATTATCCTATTTAATAATAATAACAAGAACTGCATGAGGTCACATTATCACCTTTCTTTCTGGAGATGAGGAAGCCGGAGTGCAGAGAGCCCAGCGTGCCAAGCGTCGCACCCAGCTGAGCGCAGGGTGGGTGCCTCGCTGGAGCGGGGAGTCCCAGCACTTCCCCAGCAGACTCGCTGCTGCTTTGACTTCGGGTCTAAGCCATGCTCCTGCTGCCTGGCTGGCTTCTGCCCGGTCAGACTGAAAGGGTCTCGCAGGCAGGAACCGTGCACACAGTGTCTAGCTCCGAGCCTGAGAATACTTGAGGCTTCAAAAAGTTTGCTGAGCTACCGCAGGGAGGACGAAAGCTGTGTTTCAGCACAGCCTGGGGAACACTAGTCCAGCCTGAGGGAAGCCCAAGTGGGGTTCGCTGCCCTCTGAGCCACAGATTTAAGGAGGAGGGTGTGGAAATTGCCGGCTGCTGAGGTCCAAACTCACCGAAGGTACTGACCGCAGCGGCTCCTCTCTTCACAGCTTCTGCCGGAGGCCTCTGTTTACTCCGGTTACCGAGGCAACGCCACCCCTCTTCCAGGGAGGTGGAACCGGGCGGGCCGTGGGGCGCATGCGCGGCCGGCGTCCAGCTTTCCGGGACATCGAGTAGCAGTGACGCTGGGAACCGGGTACCTGTCCGCCCTCTGGTCGGGCCTTTTCCGTCTCATGACACTGGTTCAAAGCCAAACAGAAAAGCCCGACGAGTTTATTATCCCCTAAAGGACGTCATGTAGATAATTAAATGACATGAATACCGTCAAAGATACCTGCCCGATATTCTAAAATGGACCAACGGAGCCCTGATCGCGGCGTTCCTATGTTGAGGTTTTAACTTCGATTTTAAGAGGGGTCCTGGGAGATAGTAGGCAGGTTGCCGGCAACATCAACAACAAAGATACATGGTGGGATTTTTGTTATTTTTAAAGCTATATCATCTCTGTTGGCTTTTAAGAGTAAATAAGGTTTTGTTGTGGGTTTCTTGGTCGCAGCGCTCTGGGCAAAAAAGTAGAGGCCTCCCTTGACAGATTTCTAGGTTTAGCAGTTTGTTCAACCTCTCTGTAGTACTGTGGTCATACGGCTTTGTAAAGTACCTAGCCTAACATTATTACTTACCAAATACTATTTTAAAACCGTCATTCCAATATGTGACAAAGGAGTTTGTATACAGAATGTATAAAGAACTCTTATAATTCAATAAGAAAAACCCACCCAATTTCTTAAATGGGCAAAGGATTTGAATGCTTCACCAAATCAGATATATGTATGGCCAGTAAACACATGGAAAGATGCTTATCAGTAGTCATAAGGGAAATACAAACCACAATACACGTAACTCCACATCCACGTGAAGGGGTAAAACTTCAAAGATTGCCAACACCAACTGCAGAAGGATACGGAGCAACTGGAACTCACATACACTGCTGTTGGGAATGTAAAATGGCATAACCACTTTGGAAAACTATTTGAGAGGTTTCTTCAAGAGTTAAACATACACAAAGTTATTCCACTTCCAAGATAGTCTAGAGCCTTGGGCAAAGTGGTTGCCTAGGACTTAGTGAGATGCATTGGAAAGAGACACAAGGAATCTTAGAAATGACAGAAATGCTGTGTCTTAATTGTGGTGGTAATTCCATGGGTATATACAACCGCCAAAAGCCAATAAACTGTTCTCTTTAAATGGATGTCGTTTATTGTATATACATTATTTGTCAATAAAATTGGCAAGAAAAAAATGCTATAGTACAATTTGTGTTTATTAGTTTCCACAATGTTACACAAATACCATGCATTTATTTGCAATACTGACATGTCCTCTTCAATCAAGGTTTTCCAGGGCTTAAAAAAATAGACGATTATCCTTGCTATTACTTATTAAATGATATATCTAGGTGCAGAAAAGATAGAAAACATAGGGTAAACTTTTTAAATAGCATGTTAGTTATATTTTCAAATCATATGCCCAGCATGTTTTCTTTCAACCTCTAGATGTCTTTTCAGGTGAAATACCTCTACATTTCAAGCACTGTGTGCAATTGTTAATCCGAGAAACATACAACAAATTCACTATACAATGTTTTTAAAAATGGACACATGGGGGAAATAGTGTATTTATTTATTTATACACAAAAAATATTGGGCAGTGATCATTACTGAGTGTTGTGAGCCAAGCTCTGAGCTCAGTCCATTTATATACACTTGCCTCACTTAATCCTTACAGCCTCTAGGGAAGACATTATGTCTGACTTTCAAATGGGAAAGATGAGATTAATCTGTCCAAAGTACACAGCTCAAGTGGCAGAAATGGCATTTGAGGCAAGATTTCTGGTTTCAGTACTTGCATCCTTAGCTACTGTACTGTATTAGTTCCCATAAATTAGGAGAAATCCAATAACTGCAAGAAAGAGCTTCAAGTCTTGGCTTTACCTCTTACCAGCACTCTGTCATTAGACAACTTTCTTCACCTCTAGGGCTCAGTTTCCTCATCTGTAAAGGTGCTGGGAGAGGAGGAAGCATTTACATACCTCTAATTCACAGGGCTACTATGAGATTCAAATGATATAATGGTGATATTGCAGCTTATAGTACAGTGTCTGCCACAGTAATGGCTCAATAAGGAACAGCTATTCTTATTATTATGCTGCTTCCATACTACACACACTATAAAACAGGTTTACTCTCCATCAAGAGGCAGCACAACATAGGCTTTGGAGAAAGACTGCCTATGTTCCCATTCTAGTGCCACCACTCCCTAGTTGTGTGACCTTGAGAAAATACCTCCTTGTACCTCAGTTTCTTCATCTGCAAAATGAGGATAATAGTACCTATCTCATAAGATGTCATGAAGCACATAAAGTGGCTACAATAGTGCCTAGTAGGTAGTTAACAGTTATCAAATTCTGCTAACCAAAATCATTTTGTTTACAGCATAAGAATGATTATATCATAACTGTGGATGTTATCAATCCAGTATCTCTGCCAACCTGTAATTTGGAAAACTGTAAATTTCAGGTTGAGCAAGTTATTAGCAGCTTTCTGGGGCATACGGGAGAAGTCATATGTTATCCAAAATATGAGTCTAAACACAAGTAATCTCAGTTTGAATTGCTCACTCAGGTTGAGAATTCCTATCATAGAGCCAAGGAGCAGAGATCATTCAAAAAACAAGTTTAAAATAGAAATCAACATCTCAGAACGAAATGGGTATCCTGGAAAAATCTATCTTAAGCCCAGTGCAGTGGCTCATACCTGTAATCCCAGCACTTTGGGAAACCAAGGCAGGTGGATCATTTCAGGTCAGGAGTTCAAGACCAGCCTGGCCAACATGGTGAAACCCCGTCTCTACTGAAAATACACAAATTAGCTGGGCGTGGTGGTGTGTACCTATAATCCTAGCTACTCAGGAGGCTGAGGCAAGAGGATTGCTTGAACCTGGGAGACTGAGGTTGCAGTGAACAAGATTACACAACTGCACTCCAGCCTGAGCAATAAAGCGAGACTCTGCCTCAAAAAAAAAAAAAAAAGAAAAAGAAAAAAAAGAAAAAGAAAGAGAAAAAAAGAAAAGGAAAGGAAAGGAAAAAAAAAAGAGAAATCTACCCTGAAAGATCTGCTTAAATTCAGGGCTGGGAAAATTGATTGCAACTTTTTCTATTTAATTGTTTGAAACATTAAATATACCAATAAATCAATGTTACCACATTTAGGTATTTGAGCTCTAGAATCATTTTTTATTTGATTTGCATTACCATTATTGATGACATTTTCACAGTTTAAAAACTACATAAGATTTTATAATAAATGCAACCACTCTTACCTGCTTAAGCAAATATAAACAAACACTCCCAGGCCTATTTTTTTAAGGTTGTATATTTCACTTGATGGAAAAAGTGACGAACAGCAATGACTTCCCAAGAAAAAAGAAAGAAAAGTGGGTGTTACATTTTCCTGAAAGCCAGAATCTAATCACACAGAGGAATTTTATTGTAAGTTACATGCAAAGCAAATTAGTTCTTCAGGAAAATAAAAAAATAAATGGATCAACTAAGATACACTAAACCTCAAAAAACCCTGAATAAAGATGATAAAGGTAAAAATGTATTTTAAAAGACTCTTAAAATATTTAAGAAAGTATTAAAATACAAAGCTTTAACTTCTCTACAGTCAAAATTTCATTCACAGGGAGCTGTAGGTCAGTTGGTTGTTGAAAACTTATTTGAGAAAATCAAAAAATAATTGCTTTATTTCTCTGTTTCATTAGTACTAATTCACAAGATCTTTGTAGGTTTTATCTGAAAGAAGGATATAAAAACTTAAAAGTCAGAGCAGGGAAAGGGGAGTAATAAATTATTAAGAACAAACTCAGTGAGACCTGACTTCACTTATGATACATGGGTAGAAAGAGCAAACCAGCCTTCTTCATTCTGTTTCTCAATCTGTTGAACAAAGACACAGAGAAAATTTAGATGGTAATCAGAAACATGAGACTACTCAAGATTTACAGATCATTTAGACCAAGTGCATAAAACAAAGTCATCCTGTGCCATTGAATGGTACTGGAAATTAAATTGCTATTGGCAATGTTTATTCTCTAATAGAGATACTATCAAATAACTGATTACTTGGTCAACAGATCCTCTTACTGATTTAGGAGTCATAATTTTTTTAAGTCCAGTGTTTTATAGATATCACAGGTATAAATTTTAAAATGATAAAAAGGCAGTTATTTGTTCTTAGTAAATTAAATGTTACTAAATTCCAGGAACTAAGAATAATTTATATAAAATAGCTTACTTTAAAGCTTTTGTAGAATATAAGAAGTAGCAAAGAACAAATCTCCCAGAATTGGACAATTCGGGTATCTATCATTCCCCTATCATTTAATATCTTTCCCCTATCATTTAATTTGGGCTATAAGCACCCACTCTTTGATCTAATTACTGAACTCAGTAATAAGAAATGCAAAGATTTTCCCAATGTCAGACAGTTGTTGGCTCAAGTCTACAAAATTAATTCTTGTAATTTTAAAGATATCCTCACAATTTACTATAACCACTCAAAGGAACTATATTTACTGTATTAGTACCACAGAAAAAAAGCCTTCTGCAAAAATTTTGAATATACTGTGAAATACTTAGCTTCTATACATACCTATGGCACAACAAAATACATGAAGAGCACATTAAGACATTTATTTTTCTCTGGGACCGTAACCTATCTAACCAATGGCACAGTCAGATATGGCACACAGGAATAAAGTGAGAGGAAAAGTTACTGGACCCACTGCTCTAGCTGTCCCAGACCCCACCCAGGGACAAGGACTGGGGGAACCAATAGCTCAGTAGATCTACAACCCATTCAAGGCACACCTGTGTGTCCTGCCATAATATTTGGGAAGCTCTACCTGAAACCAGTAATTTCCAGCCTTTAAGGACTGCTGAATATCCTACTGAATTTTACCTTATTCCTTAGTTACCCTAGAAAACAGAAAAAGTATATGGCTTGTTTTTCCTAATGAAGGTAAATTAGTATCTCTTTTCTGTTAAGAATACCATATCAGCTTTAGGATAACAGGAATGATAGTTAAGAATGGAAATCACTAAATCAGCCACCTTCTACCCTCACTCCTATATACATTTCACAATTACATTTTAACGTGTACCTTTGCTCTTGGATTAAGAGGTGTGAATCTCCCACTTCCTGAGGTGGCATTTAGTGGAGAACAAGAATTACTAGTAGCCCCGGAAGATCTATTTATGAAAAATAAAACAGAGTAAGATAGTGAGCTATCATTATTAACCTTAAAAGACTATGCAAACAACTGACAATTCTCAATACTGGCAAGAGCTTGAAAACAAATGGCTGACTTAGGTCAAATGAGGTAAATTATTTGTAACTTATTTTCACCAACCTGTAAGTCTTCATTTTTTCATTAATAGTGATATGCTTTGGCTGTGTCCCCACCAAAATCTCAACTTGAATTGTATCTCCCAGAATTCCCCTGTGTAGTGGGAGGGACTCATGGGGAGGTAACTGAATCATGGGGGCTGATCTTTCCCATGCTATTCTCATGATAGTAAATAAGTCTCATGAAATCTGATGGGTTTATCAGGGGTTTCTGCTTTTGCTTCTTCCTCATTTTCTCTTGCTGCCACCATGTTAGAAGTGTCCTTCGCCTCCCACCATGATTTTGAAGCCTCTCCAGCCATGTGAAACTGTAAGTTCAATTAAACCTCTTTTTCTTCCCAATCTCAGTTATGTTTTTATCAGCAACATGAAAACGGACTAATACAAATACAATTTACTTTTCTAGAGCTGTTTTGGGTTTTTGGAAAGACGAGTGGAAAGTACAGAGTTCCCATATACCCCTTAACCCCCACCTCCAACACACACACAGTTTCCCCTATTATTAAGATCTTGCATTAGTGTGACAAATCTATTACAATGGATGATCTAACATTTATATGTTATAATTGACTGAAGTCCATAGTTTACATCAGGGTTCACTCTCTGTGTTATACATTCTGTGGGTTTTCACAAATGTATAATGACATGTATCTGCCATTACAATATTATATGGATAAATTTTCAATAATGAACGTGCAGGGATGGGGAAGAAGGTCCAGGTAGTAGAAGAGTAACAAGACCTGGAACAGCACAGTACAATAGTAAGGATGCAGAGTAGAGAGAGAAAGGCCAAGTATGTCCTTAGTGTCACTATTTACCAACCATATGACCCATCTAGACAAATCACCCCATTAGCTCTGAGAGCTTCAGTTTCATTTACTGTGAAGGAGGAAAATACTATTGGTCAATTCAGCTGTCCTGTCATAAATCACCTCCTAATTTTGTAACCCATAAATACTCTACATATGTGTTATCTCATTTTTGTTTTCAGTAGCAAACCCACACCTTTCTACTTAAAGTTTATTCCTCACTCCCTTTCCCCTCAAAATTCTCTTTTCCAATTATTTTACTCTTTGCATGAGTCTGTCTCAACCTAAGTCAGATATTGTACACTTCCTTTTTTCACAAAGAGAATAAAATACATACCAAATTCTTTTTTCTTTTTTTTTTTTTAAAGTAAATATTCACTCTGCAACTTACCTTCTTGTATTTATCCCACTGACAGGAGAGACAGTACTACATTTTGAGCTTTCTGAGGCTTCTGCTCCTGGAATAGATACCTCAATTGTCCTCTTTGCTCCTTCTAAAATATAAAAATAAGTATTAGTTTCATTATCTTTCAATGAAATAAAAATTTCACTCAATTTCTATCTTACTGAAAATTGCACATTACAAATTTGGTGGTTCTTTACGTATTTTTTAATCTTAGCCCAAGATACACTTGATTTTTTTTTTTTTTTTTTACTGAACTGTGAGATAAGAAACTTTAGTTACTAGTGTTAATTCAGTAGCATGCCAGTTCATAGAGAGCCAGAATCTTCACAAGTGGCATCATGTCAGCTCTGGAGGTGAAAAACAGAAATTAAGAGCTAGCCCTAAAGAACTTGAGATCTTTGTCCAAAAGAGCTTACCTAAAGTTTTTCCCAAAAAAAAGAAAAAGAAAATTTCTGAAGTCATTCAGCAAAACTTTAAATCTTTTAAATCAATTACATTATGACTACTACTGAAGACATTGAAATAGGAGAGGAAAGTTGGCTGAAGAGCTCCATATGGCCAATAGCAAGTATAATTATGAATATTTTCCATATTTCAGAAGTAGGTTATCAATCAGCATATATTTACTAAGTATTTACTAATGAAAGACTTTATGTTCATCATAGGCAGTTTCTCAGAGGCTCCTGGCTTTGTGTGACTTCCTAGTTTTACGAGGTAATAAAACCCTATTTAATTTTACGAAACATTCCTCAGTTACCCTAGAAAACAAAAGAGGTTTTTCATGGCATATGGTTTATTTTTATTTTTATCATTATAGTCCACAGAGGTTTTTTTTTTTAATAAATGTAAGAATTTTGCTTATAAAAAGAATACTTTAGAAATAAATCACTGGACAGGAAAGAACACAGTTGCAAATCCACAAGTTGCTTTGTAACTTGATAAATCACATAACCTCTTTGTGCCTCCCAGTTTACTTATTTATCAAATAGGTATAATATTAGCCCTGTCTACTCTAAAGGTGTGTTGAGGACTAAATTATATAACATAAATCAAAGCATATTTTAAACCATACAGAAATACTGAAATGGAAGATGTATATTTAAACACAAAATTATTCTTAAGGCTGATCTGCTTTATTTTTCTTCCTTGCACTTAGCACTAACTGATATTATCCCAAATATTGATTTGTTTGTTGCCTGCTCCCCTACTCAAATGCTA